TTCTCACACGCACACACACCCAAAAACAAAAGTGATTTGCACACAAAATGGCAAATATGTGAAGATCCTTCTCAGTAAATTTTATTGGGGTTTCTTCTTGAAAACAGAGAGCAAGGGGAACAGGCTCACACAGACTTAATGGCTAACATCCCTCTACAGTGTCTAAGGCTGTCACGAATCCCCCCGGTACTGCTGCTCATTCCGTTCACCAGCTCCGGAGGTCAACGTCACCGGCCTTCTAGGCATCACTGACCTGGTTCATTACCACCAACCCCAGGACTGTCTTGTCTCACTACGCACACCTGGTTCCCATTCCCCCTGATTAGTACGTGTATATGTGTGCCGTCTGTTCCCCATTGTCCATTTTTGTCCCATGTCCGTTGGTCTCGTGAGTACCGTGTATAGTGCTCTGGTTGTTTACGGGTCTCGTCCCGTGTATTGTGTAGAGGTTACACCTCACTCTTTGTTTGGGTTACATCCCATTTGTATATATATATACACATGTTTGTGTTAGGTGGAGTAAATTAAACCCCTAATATGTATTCCTGCGCCTGTCTTCAAATCATTATACAACACGACAAAGTCTCAACCACTGTCTGTCCGTAGAGTATATAAACAGGGTCTCCCTTGAACCAACCCGACCCTCAAACTCAGTGTCTGTCAACGGTGAACCAGGACCTCAACCAACTACACATATCATTGTAATGCATAATACTGGTCAAACGTTAGTCAGAGGAGTTTCCAAAAATGTTCTCCTTTACTGACTGCTGCTGCTGCAGGTGACCATGGGAACCAAGAGTCAGTTGGAGGAGTTGCTTAGGCAACCAAAGACTAGTTTCCTATCACACCATGTTTCAGCAAGGAGCAACAACGTTTAATCATGTCGTAAAGAGTCCATGTCACCGCAGGAAAGGTCAGCAGCTTCAAGTCAGCTGTTATTTCCATACAAACAAAATATGATATTTTTTGTAACGTTTATGCCATAAAAGTTGACTTAATGTTTAACGGATTTAATTTTTTTTTGGGGGGGGGATTTAAAAAATCAATAAATGTGACCCCTTGTAAAAGTACTAAACAACCTTATTACAAAACCTATCGACCTTCCCAAGATATTTGATCCTTTTAGTTTAATGGTTTTGGAATGACAGTCACAGGGACCAGGGTTTGAGTCCTGGTCAGGGTAACCCCCTAATTAACTACATTGGCGTCAGGAGTTGGATAGCACCATTGGAAACCTGTCCTGGCTGAGTTTTAGGCACAGTTCATTTTTCAGAGGCAAAGCTTTACAATTTTTTATAATTGATGTTCTGAAGTATATATCAGTCTACTAAAGTAATCAGACCTATTCTTATTATAACTAACAAAATAAAAACGCTAAGTGTTTTCATCTTTCATGAGCTAAAATAAAATATCCCATAAATTTTGCATTAACACAAAATGTGTATTTATCTTAGGATTTTGTGCACACATTTGTTTACATCCCTGTTAGTGAGCATTTTTCCTTTGCCAAGATAATCCATCCACCTAACAGGTGTGGCATATCAAGAAGCTGATTAAACAGCATTATCTTTACATAGGTGCAACTTGTGCTGGGGCCAATAAATAGCCACTCTAAAATGTGCAATTTTGTCACACAACACAGATGTCTCAAGTTTTGTGGGAGCGTGCAATTGGCATGCTGACTGCAGGAATGTCCACCAGAGCTGTTGCCAGAGCATTGAATGTTCATTTCTCTACCAACGTCGTTTTATAGAATTTGGCAGTACGTTCAACCAGCCTCAGAACTGCAGACCACGTGTAACCACGCCAGCCCAGGACCTTCACATCCGGCTTCTTCACCTGCGGGATCGTCTGAGACCAGCCACCCAGACATCTGATGAAACTGAGGAGTATTTATGTCTGTAATAAAGCCCTTTTGTGTGGAAAAACTCATTCTGAAGTGGGTGGGCCTATGCCCTCCCAGGCCCACCCATGGCTGTGCCCCTGCCCAGTACTGTGAAATCCAGATTATGGCCTAATGAATTTATTTCAATTGACTGATTTCCTTATATGAACTGTAACTCAGTAAAATCGTTGAAATTGTTGCATGTTGCATTTATATTTTTGTTCAGTATAATTCAGTCATATTTATAGGTCTCTATAAAATCCAATAAATGTTTCTGAAAATTCTGTTGTGTTATTTTCCAAATTCCGTTTTCTCTGTTTTATTTTCTCAGGTTTCAGATTTGTCCAAATCCTTTCAGGTTTTCACTCTCAAATACACGTTTTTTAAAATATAATAACAACAACATTTGATGTTCTAAGTCCACATTTTTGAGTTTAATGTAAACTTTTTTGTAGTTCCCTTTAATTTAACTGTGCACTTAGCAAGGCCTTATTCATTTGGTTGGCCTTATTCATTTGGATGGCATTATGACTGTTATTTTATCCATAATCATTGGTTACACGATTTGACAGTAAATGTGGCAGCCCTACTCAATACACACATAACCTGTCCCCTTTGAGAAAGTATTTTGGGGTCTATAAGAACTGGGTTTATACCGACTAGGTTAGTGTTTATAGTTCGGTGTCATGTGGATAGACCCAAGTAGATGGTTTGTAGATGTTTAGTAGATGTTCAATAACTGTCAACAACATTTCAACTAACCCTAACCTAATCCTTATCCTAACCTTAACCCTTACCTTTACACTAACCCTAGCCCTAACCCTAACCCTAACCGGAACCTTAGCAAGCAGTTGCATATCAACCAATAGTTAGTTGATAGTTTGACCATCTGTAGATCATCTGTTGAGTCTATCCAGACCATCTGTAGATCATCAGTTGGGACTATCCAGACCATCTGTAGATCATCTGTTGGGACTATCCAGACCATCTGTAGAGGATCAGTTGGGACTATCCAGACCATCTGTAGAGGATCAGTTGGGACTATCCAGATAAAGTGGGACTAATTGTTCCATTGTGATTTCCCCCCACATACACAACCGTTCAACATTTTCGGGTCACTTAGAAATGTCCTTGTTTTTGAAGAAAAATCCATTTTATTGTCCATTCAAATTACATCAAATTGATCAGAAATACAGTGTAGACATTGTTAATGTTGTAAATGGCTATTGTAGCTGGAAACGGCTGCTTTTTAATGGAATATCTACATAGGCGTACAGAGGCCCAATATCAGCAACCATCAGTCCTGTGTTCCAATGGCACGTTGTGTTTGCTAATCCAAGTTTATCATTTTAAAAGGCTAATTGATCATTAGAAAACCCTTTTGCAATTATGTTAGCACAGCCGAAAAAACTGTTGTGCTGATTAAAGAAGCAATAAAACTGGCCTTCTTGATACTAGTTGAGTATCTGGAGCGACAGCAATTGTGGGTTCGATTACAGGCTCAAAATGGCCAGAAACAAATAACTTTCTTCTGAAACTCGTCAGTCTATTCTTGTTCTGAGAAATGAAGACTATTCCATGCAAGAAATTGCCATGAAACTTAAGATCTCGTACAGCGCTGTGTACTACTCCCTTCACAGAACAGCGCAAACTGGCTCTAACCAGAATAGAAAGAGGAGTGGGAGGCCCCGGTGCACAACTGAGCAAGAGGACAAATACATTAGAGTGTCTAGTTTGAGAAACAGACACCTCACAGGTCCTCAACTGGCAGCTTCATTAAATAGTACCCGCAAAACACCATCTCAACGTCAACAGTGAAGAGGTGACTCTGGGATGCTGACCTTCTAGGCAGAGTTGCAAAGAAAAAGCCATATCTCAGACTGGCCAATAAAAAGCCAAGATTAAGATGGGCAAAAGAACACAGACACTAGACAGAGGAAGATTGGAAAAAAAGTGTTATGGACAGACGAATCGAAGTTTTGAGGCATTCGGATCACAACGAAGAACATTTGTGAGACGCAGACCAAGTGAAAAGATGCTGGAGGAGTGCTTGATGCCATCTGTCAAGCATGGTGGAGGCAATGTGATGGTCTGGGTGTGCTTTGGTGGTGGTAAAGTGGGAGATTTGCACAGGGTAAAAGGGATCTTGAAGGAAGGCTATCACTCCATTTTGCAACGCCATGCCATACCTCAATTTCCTCCTACAACAGGACAATGACCCTCCAAACTATGCAATAACTATTTAGGGAAGAAGCAGTCAGCTGGTATTCTGTCTATAATGGAGTGGCCAGCACAGTCACCAGATCTCAACCCTATTGAGCTGTTGTGGGAGCAGCTTGACCATATGGTACGTAAGAAGTGCCCATCAAACCAATCCAATTTATGGGAGGTGCTTCAGGAAGCATGGGGTGAAATCTCTTCAGATTACCTCAACAAATTGACAACTAGAATGCCAAAGGTCTCCAAGGCTGTAATTGCTGCAAATGGAGGATTATTTAACGAAAGCAAAGTTTGAAAGACACAATTATTATTTCAATTAAAAAATCATTATTTCTAACCTTGTCAATGACTACATTTCCAATGCATTTTGCTATATTTCCTATTCAAACTCATTTCATGTATGTTTTCATTGAAAACAAGGACATTTCTAAGTGACCACAATCTTTTGAACGGTAGTGTGTATGAGCATGATTTGGCACTTTTTATTAGTTCCATGCAAAATATTACCATTCAGTTACAGTATGTTTCAAACGGGTTAAAATATAAAAGATACGCACTATTTCAAATTATTTCAATCTTATGCAATCACGCACCAATTCAAATTATTTCAATCTTATGCAATCATTATTACATGCATACAAGCATACAGTAGGTATGATGTCACAGAGACAAGTATAGCATTTGCCGAGAGAGAGAGAGAGAGAGAGAGAGAGAGAGAGAGAGAGAGAGAGAGAGAGAAGAGATACAAAAAGTATCCTACAAGAAGTTTTAAATCAGTTACATTATTGTATATATACAGATGATAATCTACTGTATTTTTTTATTCTGCTATATTAATATGGTTTAAGTTCACTAACGGTAATATCTTAGTTGTCATATAGTTGATGGTCACCAGTTAAGGTGAAGTATTCAACACGTTATTGCCCTTGATGGCCTTCATCAGCGGGATCCACTTAGAGCCCTTGGCCTGACCCCAGTTTGACCTCTGCCTGTCACCTTTGACCTCTGTGGGCCCATCATGTTCATCTGCCTCCGAGGTGATCTCCATCTTCTGGATCATCAGCTTTATCAGGTCGTGTTGCTTCTCCAGCACACTGGATATCTCCTTTAGTCTGTATAGGAACACATAGAAACATATATACTGGATATCTCCTTTAGTCTGTATAGGAACACATAGAAACATATATACTGGATATCTCCTTTAGTCTGTATAGGAACACATAGAAACATATATACTGGATATCTCCTTTAGTCTGTGTAGGAAATGTGAGAGCGAGGGACACTGTTTTTACACACAAGACCACTAGAGGCTGCTCACACACCATCCAACCCCTAGCACTCCTTTACACACCAACCAAACCCCTAGCACTCCTTTACACACCATACAACACATTTGAGTCATTTAGCAGACGCTCTTATCCAGAGCGACTTACAGTTAGTGCATACATTACGTATATCTTTTTTTTCATACTGGCCCCCCGTGGGAATCGAACCCACAACCCTGGCGTTGCAAACGCCATGCTCTAACAACTGAGCTACATCCCTGCCGACCACTTGTGCGCCGCCCCATGGGTCTCCCGGTCGCGGCCGGCTACGACAGAGCCTGAATTCGAACCAGGATCTCTAGTGGCACAGCTAGCACTGCGATGCAGTGCCTTAGACCAAGCACCCCTTTACACACCATACAACACCATACAACACCTAGCACTCCTTTACACTCCATACAACCCCTAGCACTCCTTTACACACCATACAACCCCTAGCACTCCTTTACACACCATACAACCCCTAGCACTCCTTTCTGATCGTAAGTGTCACCTGTACTTCTGTTTGCGTAGTTCAGCTTCGACAGGGGTTGAATTGGATGAGTTGGTCAATAGACGAGTTCGCACTTCGTTGGCCTCTCCTCGACTCCAGAACTTCAGTATGGAGGCCATTTGAACAAACAAACAGGTAACCAGTGATTACTGCACAGCTCTTTCATTATTTAGCATAGAGATGGAGAAAGTCTAAGAAGATCATATATGTTGAATATATATACAGTGGGGAGAACAAGTATTTGATACACTGCCGATTTTGCAGGTTTTCCTACTTACAAAGCATGTAGAGGTCTGTAATTTTTACCATAGGTACACTTCAACTGTGACAGACGGAATCTAAAACAAAAATCCAGAAAATCACATTGTATGATTTTTAAGTAGTTAATTTGCATTTTATTGCATGACATAAGTATTTGATCACCTACCAACCAGTAAGAATTCCGGCTCTCACAGACCTGTTAGTTTTTCTTTAAGAAGCCCTCCTGTTCTCCACTCATTACCTGTATTAACTGCACCTGTTTGAACTCGTTACCTGTATAAAAGACACCTGTCCACACACTCAATCAAACAGACTCCAACCTCTCCACAATGGCCAAGACCAGAGAGCTGTGTAAGGACATCAGGGATAAAATTGTAGACCTGCACAAGGCTGGGATGGGCTACAGGACAATAGGCAAGCAGCTTGGTGAGAAGGCAACAACTGTTGGCGCAATTATTAGAAAATTGAAGAAGTTAAATCACTCTCGGTCTGGGGCTCCATGCAAGATCTCACCTTGTGGGGCATCAATGATCATGAGGAAGGTGAGGAATCAGCCCAGAACGACACAGCAGGACCTGGTCAATGACCTGAAGAGAGCTGGGACCACAGTCTCAAAGAAAGCCATTAGTAACACACTACGCCGTCATGGATTAAAATCCTGCAACGCACGCAAGGTCCCCCTGCTCAAGCCAGCGCAGGTCCAGGCCCGTCTGAAGTTTGCCAATGACCATCTGGATGATCCAGAGGAGGAATGGGAGAAGGTCATGTGGTCTGATGAGACAAAAATAGAGCTTTTTGGTATAAACTCCACTCGCCGTGTTTGGAGGAAGAAGAAGGATGAGTACAACCCCAAGAACACCATCCCAACCGTGAAACATGGAGGTGGAAACATCATTCTTTGGGGATGCTTTTCTGCAAAGGGGACAGGACGACTGCACCGTATTGAGGGGAGGATGGATGGGGCCATGTATCGCGAGATCTTGGCCAACAACCTCCTTCCCTCAGTAAGAACATTGAAGATGGGTCGTGGCTGGGTCTTCCAGCATGACAACGACCCGAAACACACAGCCAGGGCAACTAAGGAGTGGCTCCGTAAGAAGCATCTCAAGGTCCTGGAGTGGCCTAGCCAGTCTCCAGACCTGAACCCAATAGAAAATCTTTGGAGGGAGCTGAAAGTCTTCATTGCCCAGCGAAAGCCCCGAAACCTGAAGGGTCTGTATGGAGGAGTGGGCCAAAATCCCTGCTGCAGTGTGTGCAAACCTGGTCAAGACCTATAGGAAACGTATGATCTCTGTAATTGCAAACAAAAGTTTCTGTACCAAATATTAAGTTCTGCTTTTCTGATGTATCAAATACTTATGTCATGCAATAAAATGCAAATTAATTACTTTAAAATCATACAATGTGATTTTCTGGATTTTTGTTTTAGATTCCGTCTCTCACAGTTGAAGTGTACCTATAATAAACAATACAGACCTCTACATGCTTTGTAAGTAGGAAAACCTTCAAAATCGGCAGTGTATCAAATATTTGTTCTCCCCACTGTACATACTGTATACAGTGTCCTGACTAAAACAGAGATCAATAGACACCTATATACTGTTAGCCCATAACTAATCATTATTTTTTGCCTCTGCTATTGAACGCTTTCATCGTTTTGTACACTCAGTGTATAATCTACATTTATCAACTATCTCTATATCATTTGCTATTGAAGACCTCAAAAGACAATCTAAATATAATAATAATAATAATATGCCATTTAGCAGACGCTTTTATCCAAAGCGACTTACAGTCACGTGTGCATAAATTTTTACGTATGGGGTGGTCCCTGGGATCGAACCCACTACCCTGGCGTTACAGGCACCGTGCTCTACCAATTGAGCTACAGAGGTCACCTGTTACAGGAGGGGGGGGGGGGGGGGTCGCAGTTCCGGAGCAACCCACTAGGTGTCATCCTCCGACAACCTTAGGCACCTCCTCACTCACAGTCTGGACTAATCATCATCCTATTGGTCTCACCTGTGTCTCCCTGTTCACCTGTGTCTACCTGTTCACCTGTGTCTACCTGTTCACCTGTGTCTACCTGTTCACCTGTGTCTACCTGTTCACCTGTGTCTCCCTGTTCACCTGTGTCTCCCTGTTCACCTGTGTCTCCCTGTTCACCTGTGTCTACCTGTTCACCTGTGTCTCCCTGTTCACCTGTGTCTACCTGTTCACCTGTGTCTCCCTGTTCACCTGTGTCTCCCTGTTCACCTGTGTCTACCTGTTCACCTGTGTCTCCCTGTTCACCTGTGTCTACCTGTTCACCTGTGTCTACCTGTTCACCTGTGTCTCCCTGTTCCCCTGTGTGTTTATGCCCTCACTTCCCTGTGTTCCCTTGCTCAGTTTTCTCTGCTAGTTTCTCTATGTCCAGCAGTACTACTCAGTGTCTGATCGGAGGCCTGTGTACAGGTATTTGAGAAGTGTTGTCCCTGTTTCGTTATTTGTTTCAGTCGTAGGTTGTATTCCGTATTCAGGCGGTTTTTGGAGGCTTATTTGCTCCAACTTTCTTTTATAGTGATAAGTCCGTTATTTTGTATTTTGGCTTCGGGACCACCAGTAAAGGTCCTTGTTTCACCATCTCTGCCTACTGCCTACTGTCTATCCTGCACCGCACCTGGGTCACACCTCACACCGACCCTCACAGTCACCAATAACTCTACTTCTCCTTTTAAGTCATATTTTGCTATATCTATCATTCCAGTGTTAATACGAAATTGTAACTATTTTACATTATGGTCTATTTATTGCCTTACCTCCATAACCTACTACATTCGCACACACTGTATATGTATATATATTTTCTGTTTGTATTTTTGACTTTATGTTTTGTTTTTAGGGCCATGTTTAAACAGCGTGCTGATACTACTATAGCATCCATTTTGTATTTTAGATTGTAATCCTACTCTGAGATGCTTTATGAATACAGGCCCAGGTACCACACCCACCCTGGAGCACTTGCGGTTGGGGTAGATGGTGATGGATGACTGGTCCACTCTCTTCAACAACCAGTACGGCATCTTCTCCTCCAGGTTGGTGTGGAGCTCAATCTGACATAGAAAAAAAAACATCAATGCCTTCAGTCAACAATATCCGCAAGTATGGCATTTCGTCATATTGAGTACGTTGAGAAGGGTTGACCTATATCTTGGTATACTAGTACAGTATGATGAGGAAGTGATGTTGACCCAATCAGAACAACTTTACAATGACACTAAAACAAGTGCCCATTAGCTGTTCAAATGTGTAACATTCCTCAAAACACCTTAAATCACCCTAAAAAAAAAAAAAAAAAAAAAATCTTATCAAACGGACAGAGTGTTAACCAGCTCCATACCTGCATGGCTATTCTCTTCAGAGCGGCACTTCTCTGTACCTCAGCGATGTCTCCGACCGCCAAACCAATCTACAGCACACCCAAAGGGACACCAATAGGAACCATCAATATTTGGATTTGGCAACTATCCATTGACAATTAGCATTGACCTCCCGTAGTCTCTTTCCTGTGAAAAGTGGGGCTGCATTTCAATAGTCTGAAGCGGTTTCCCGTCCATGTCTCCTTCCATTCATCAATACAGATCTTTAAAGAAAGGAGACCAGAGAGGAAGCCACTTTAGATTGTTGAGATGGGATCCCTTAGATCGATGGTGTCAAACTCATTAATCTGCCAAAATGAAGATAAAATGCAATGCAGACATATCACTATTCAGCCTGGTCTCATTGACTACACGTAACATAGTAAAGTTAATCCAGGGCAACCAAATAAGAGTGAGTGAGAAAAGACGAGTGAATTCTACTAGATAAAATGCCAAAATGAGCCTAGCTAACGTTAGCATTAGCCACCTAGCTAATGTTAGTGACAACAAATTGTAATTCGTAACATATCAGAAGTTTTGTAAATTCGTAACATATTGTACAAATTGTAATTCGTAACATATCATACGAAATGTATGATGGACATCCACAAATTAATACATACCAAACAAAGCGTAACATATCATACTAATTGGAGTGTCCCGGATGTATGTTTACTATTTCCAGGAGCAATTAGGGTAAGTGCCTTGCTCAAGGGCACATTTACGTCATTAGCAGACGCTCTAGTCCAGAGCGACTCACAAAATTGGTGCATTCACCCTATAGCCAGTGGGATAACACTTTACAATATTTTTTTATTTTTTTGGGTGGGGGGGGGGGGGGGGGGGGGGGGGGGGGGGGGGGTTAGAAGGATTACTTTATCCTATCCAGGTATTCCTAAAGAGGTGGGGTTTCAAATGTCTCCAGGAAGGTGGTGAGTGACTCCGTGTGGGGTGGGGGGGGGGGGGGGTGGGGGGGTTAGAAGGATTACTTATCTATCCAGGTATTCCTTAAAGAGGGGGGTTTCAAATGTCTCCGGAAGGTGGTGAGCGACTCCGCTGTGTGTGTGTGGGGGGGGGGGTAGAAGGATTACTATGTTAAATCTGAGTATGACAGTGACATTACCTCATTCGCTTCCCGCTTCCAGAGCATTGGCGTCCGAATACCGATACTAGCTAACTAAAATAGTATGCTAAAAAATAACATTTTGTAGTACCTGTATGTGAAATGTTCAAAATAGTACTCCAAATGCGTTATTTACATTTTACATTTTAGTCATTTAGCAGACGCTCTTATCCAGAGCGACTTACAGTTAGTGAATACTTCTCCTGTCTTATCCAGTGTCCTGTGTGAATTTAAGTATGCTCTCTCTAATTCTCTCGTTCTCTCTTTCTCTCTGAGAACCTGAGCCCTAGGACCATACGTCAGGACTACGGGCATGATGACACCTTGCTGTCCCCAGTCCGCCTGGCCTTGCTGCTATTCCAGTTTCAAACTGTTCTGCCTGCGGCTACGAAACCCCTACCTGTCCCAGACCTGCTGTTTTCAACTCTTAATGATCAGCTATGAAAAGCCAACTGAGAGACCTGAGCCCTAGGACCATACGTCGGGACTACCGGCCGTGGTGACTCCTTGCTGTCCCCAGTCCGCCTGGCCTTGCTGCTATTCCAGTTTACAGAGGCGACTATCAGTTAGTGATCCATATTTTTTTTACTGGCCCCCCCGTGGAACGAACCCCACAACCTGAGCGTTTGCAAACGCCTGCTACATCAACGAGCTACATCCCTGCCGGCCATTCCCTCCCCTACCCTGGACAACGCTGGGCCAATTGTGCGTCGCCCATGAGTCTCCCGGTCGCGGCCGGCTGCGACAGAGCCTGGATTCAAACCAGGATCTCTAGTGGCACAGTTAGCACTGTGATGCAGTGCCTTAGACCACTGCGCCACTCAGGAGCCCCATCTAATGCGCGATTGAGTTGACTCCCGCCATTCATTCATTTTGTTACAGCATGTCAATTTATCTGATTATCATCTGTTGTCAAACAGGTGAGTGGGAAAAGACTAGTGAATTCAACTAGATAAAACACCAAAATGAGTATGCATTTTAAGTATTTGGTCACCTACAAACAAGCAAGATTTCTGGCTCTCACAGACCTGTAACTTCTTCTTTAAGAGGCTCCTCAGTCCTCCACTCGTTACCTGTATTAATGGCACCTGTTTGAACTTGTTATCAGTATAAAAGACACCTGTCCACAACCTCAAACAGTCACACTCCAAACTCCACTATGGCCAAGACCAAAGAGCTGTCAAAGGACACCAGAAACAAAATTGTAGACCTGCATCAGGCTGGGAAGACTGAATCTGCAATAGGTAAGCAGCTTGGTTTGAAGAAATCAACTGTGGGAGCAATTATTAGGAAATGGAAGACATACAAGACCACTAATAATCTCCCTCGATCTGGGGCTCCACGCAAGATCTCACCACATAGGGTCAAAATGATCACAAGAACGGTGAGCAAAAATCCCAGAACCACACGGGGGGACCTAGTGAATGACCTGCAGAGAGCTGGTACCAAAGTAACAAAGCCTACCATCAGTAACACACTACGCCGCCAGGGACTCAAATCCTGCAGTGCCAGACGTGTCCCCCTGCTTAAGCCAGTACATGTCCAGGCCCGTCTGAAGTTTGCTAGAGTGCATTTGGATGATCCAGAAGAGGATTGGGAGAATGTTATGTGGTCAGATGAAACCAAAATAGAACTTTTTGGTAAAAACTCAACTCGTCGTGTTTGGAGGACAAAGAATGCTGAGTTGCATCCAAAGAACACCATACCTACTGTGAAGCATGGGGGTGGAAACATCATGCTTTGGGGCTGTTTTTCTGCAAAGGGACCAGGACGACTGATCCGTGTAAAGGAAAGAATGAATGGGGCCATGTATCGTGAGATTTTGAGTGAAAACCTCCTTCCATCAGCAAGGGCATTGAAGATGAAACGTGGCTGGGTCTTTCAGCATGACAATGATCCCAAACACACCACCCGGGCAATGAAGGAGTGGCTTCGTAAGAAGCATTTCAAGGTCCTGGAAGGGCCTAGCCAGCCTCCAGATCTCAACCCCTTAGAAATCTTTGGAGGGAGTTGAAAGTCCGTGTTGCCAGCGACAGCCCCAAAACATCACTGCTCTAGAGGAGATCTGCATGGAGGAATGGGCCAAAATACCAGCAACAGTGTGTGAAAAACTTGTGAAGACTTACAGAAAACGTTTGACCTGTGTCATTGCCAACAAAGGGTATATAACAAAGTATTGAGAAACTTTTGTTATTGACCAAATACTTATTTTCCACCATAATTTGCAAATAAATTCATAAAAAATCCTACAATGTGATTTTCTGGATATTTTTTTCTAATTTTGTCTGTCATAGTTGACGTGTACCTATGATGAAAATTACAGGCCTCTCTCATCTTTTTAAGTGGGAGAACTTGCACAATTGGTGGCTGACTAAATACTTTTTTTCCCCACTGTATGTAGTACGCTAGTATGGTTATTCAGACAAGGCCAGTGTCTTAAACAACACAGGAGGAGAGCACATGACCGCAGCGAACTGAAAACCATAAGTAGCCCAGCTTTAGAACAGGACATGTATTATTGGGAAAATGCTCTAAATAGCAAGTTGTTCAGTTCTGTTTATTTTCATACCAATAGATGAAACGAAAATTGAACTAGCCTACTGGTCGAATGAATGAAAATAGCAATTAGGCTACAGCTATCAAAACCTATATTTTTATAGCAATAAAATTGCTTTTGGGTTTCAAATGGTCACCAAAAAACAAGGGCTCCCCCACCTCCCAATTCCCAATTAAATGAACCCCTGGCTATGACATAACAACAAGGCTTATGCCTACAAGGAAGAGTTCAAGCTGGCAGCTGCTCTCGCAACCAAATATTAACATTTAAAAGGAGATGTACAGTGCCTTCAGAAAGTACTCTTGTTTTATTACAGCCTCAATTCAAAACTGTTTAAATTGAGATTTGAAAATAGTTTTTCTTTCTCACCGATCTACACACAATTCCCCATAATGACAAAGTGAAAACATGTTGAGGGGTGTGACGTTTTCCACATTTTGTTGTGTTACGGAATGAATATAAAATTGATTAAATTGAGATTTGAGAACCCCTGAGTCAATACTTTGTAGAAGCACCTTTGGCAGTAATAACAGCTGTCTTTCTGGGTAAGTCTCTAAGAGCTTTCCACACCTGGATTGTGCAACATTTGCCCATTTATTATTTTCAGAATTCTTCAAGCTCTGTCAAATTGATTGTTGATCGTTGCTAGACAACCATTTCCAAGTCTTTCTATAGATTTTCACGTAGATTTAAGTCAAAACTGTAACTCAGCCAATAAGGAACAGTCACTGTCTTCTTGGTAAGCAACCCCAGTGTAGATGTGGCCTTGTGTTTTAGGTTATTGTCCTGCTCCCAGTGTCTGGTGGAAAGCAGACTGAACCAGGTTTTCCTCTAGGATTTTGCCTGTGCTTAGCTCCATTCAGTTTATGTTTCATGCTGAATAACTGCTCAGCCTTTATCGATTACAAGCATACCCATAACATGATGCAGCCACCACTATGCTTGTAAATATAGAGAGTGGTACTCAGTGATATGTTTGGGGCAAATCCAACACAACACTTTGTATTCAGGACAAAAAGTTAATTGCTTTGCCACATTTTTTGCAGTATTACTTTAGTGCCTTGTTGGAAACAGGATCCATGTTTTGGAATATTTTTATTCTATACAGGCTTCCTTCTTTGTACTCTGTCAATTAGGTTTGTATTTTGGAGTAACTACAATGTTGTTCATCCATCCTCAGTTTTCTCCTATCAGAGCCATTCCACTTTGTAACTGTTTTGAAGTCACCATTGGCCTCATGGTCAAATCCCTGAGTGGTTTCCTTCCTCTCCGGCAACTGAGTTACGAAGGACGACTGTATTTTTGTAGTGACTGGGTGTATTGATATATCATCCAAAGTGTAATTAATAACTTCACCATGCTCAAAGGGATATTCAATGTCTGCTTTTTTTTTTTTACCCATCTACCAATAGGTGCCCTTCTTTGCGAGGCATTGGAAAAGCACCCTGGTCTTTGTGGTTGAATCTGTGCTTGAAATTCATTGCTCGACTGAGAGACCTTACAGATAATTGTATTTGTGGGGTACAGCGATGAGGTAGTCATTCAAAAATCAGGTTATACACTATTATTACACACAGACAGAGTTCATGCAACCTATAATGTGACTTGTTAAGCACATTTTTACTCAAATCAAATCAAATTTTATTGGTCACATGCGCCGAATACAACAGGTGCAGACATTACAGTGAAATGCTTACTCCTGAACTTATTTAGGATTGACATAACAAAGGGGTTGAATACTTATTGACTCAATACATTTTAGCATGTCATGGGGTGTGAATACTTTCTGAAGACACTATCTACTGATTGGATAGTTCCATCTGAGCTACTGGTGTTAATCTCATCCTTTAACTTTTATTTTTGGTTGAGTTGGAGATTTGAATCAAACATATAATTTGTTAATCTGTCAACAAGGTAATAGGCTCTTTTTTTTATATTTTCAAAAGTGATATTGAATTGTGTTTGGTTGTCAATGAAACCAAATATCAACATTAAAATATATTAATATTATGCTTCCATTTGTGCCACTGACTTCTGGCTTAAATTCCAGTTTGTCTACATGTTAATAATTGATATTTTGGATTCACGTCTCTATCTCAACCCAAAAATCTAAGTTAAAGAATGATTAAATCAAATCAAATGTACTTTACATTATTTCATTTAGTCCTATTGTTTAACTTTGATTTTTGTTTGAGATGGAGACGTGAATCCAACATATTGTATTAATTTGTAGATAAACTGGAATTAAAGTCAGGCTACTGTAAATCAAAGATGGAAATATCCAGGCAGAAGATACACCTCTTTTACATGTTGATATTTGGTTGTGTTGACAACCGAACACAATTCAACATCACTAAATATCATTACATTTGAAATCAACCAGAGCTTGAAACCCTAGGCCTATTGTAAACTTTTTTTTTTTTTTTTTTTTTTAATTCTGGGTTGAATTGAACCAATAGCTGTTTATGGTTTTGCAAATGCTATATTGACATACATAACATCATTGATTATATACAGTCGTGGTCAAAGGTTTTGAGAATGACACAAGTATTGGTCTTTACAAAGTTCGCTGCTTTAGTGTTATGAGATATTTTTGTCAGATGTTACTATGGTATACTGAAGTATAATTACAAGCATTCCATAAGTGTCAAAGGCTTTTATTGACAATTACATTAAGTTTATGCAAAGAGTCAATATTTGCAGTGTTGACACTTCTTTTTCAAGACCTCTGCAATCTGCCCTGGCATGCTGTCAATTAACTTCTGGCCCACATCCTGACTGATGGCAGCCCATTCTTGCATAATCAATGCTTGGAGTTTGTCAGAATTTGTGGCTTTTTGTTTGTCCACCCGCCTCTTGAGGATTGACCACAAGTTCTAAATGGGATTAAGGTCTGAGGAGTTTCTTGGCCATGGACCCAAAATGTATTTTGCCTTATGGCAAGGTGCTCCATCATGCTGGAAAGGCATTGTTCGTCACCAAACTGTTCTTGGATGGTTGGGAGAAGTTGCTCTCTCGGAGGATGTGTTGGTACCATTCTTTATTCATGGCTGTGTTCTTAGGCAAAATTGTGAGTGAGCCCACTCCCTTGGCTGAGAAGTAACCCCACACATGAATGGTCTCAGGATGCTTTACTGTTGGCATGACACAGGACTGATGGTAGCGCTCACCTTGTCTTCTCCGGACAAGCTTTTTTCCGGATGCCCCAAACAATCGGAAAGGGGATTCATCAGAAAAAATGACTTTACCCCAGTCCTCAGCAGTCTAATCCCTGTACCTTTTGCAGAATATCAGTCTGTCCCTGATGTTTTTCCTGGAGAGAAGTGGCTTCCTCGCTGCCCTTCTTGACACCAGGCCATCCTCCAAAAGTCTTCGCCTCACTGTGCTTGCAGATGCACTCACACCTGACTGCTGCCATTCCTGAACAAGCTCTGCACTGGTGGTGCCCCGATCCCGCAGCTGAATCAACTTTAGGAGACGGTCCTGGCGCTTGCTGGGCTTTCTTGGGCGCCCTGACGCCTTCTTCACAACAATTGAACCTCTCTCCTTGAAGTTCTTGATGATCCGATAAATGGTTGATTTAGGTGCAATATCCTTGCCTGTGAATCCTTTTTGTGCTTAGCAATGATGACGGCACGTGTTTTCCTTGCAGGTAACCATGGTTAACAGAGGAAGAACAATGATTTCAATCACCAACCTCCTTTTAAAGCTTCCAGTCTGTTATTCTAACTCAATCAGCATGACAGAGTGATCTCCAGCCTTGTCCTCGTCAACACTCTCACCTGTGTTAGCGAGACAATCACTGACATGATGGCAGCTGGTCCTTTTGTGGCAGGGCTGAAATGCAGTGGAAATGTTTTTGGGGGGAATAAGTTCATTTTCATGGCAAAGAGGGACTTTGCAATTCATTGCAATTCATCTGATCACTCTTCATGACATTCTGGAGTATATGAAAATTGACATCATCAAAACTGAGGCAGCAGACTTTGTGAAAATTAGTATTTGTGTCATTCTCAAAACTTTTGACCACGACTGTACAAGTGATAAAGTATGGTCACATTATAATTAGCTCTGTTAAACCTACCCTTTGGAATTACTCTGATAGCAACAGTAAATCTATTTAGTTTTTTTAATGGAGATCTCTCAACAATCATTCTCACGATAGCACATTGGTAATAGTCAGTGACAAAACCAATAAATACCAATAAATACCAGAGATGGACTTGGACCCCTGGATGGGACAGGATAGCTGCAGATCAGGGAGGGGCAACTTTTGTAGGCCCGCCGATCAATTTCCAAAGTTAAAAAAAAAAAGTTTTTTTTTTTTTTACTCAGTCAGGGTCTCAAATTACTGTTGAGAGTTAGAATAGTCGAATGCACAAGCTGAAATTTCGAAATGTGTTTGTGCATCAGCATTTTTTCTGTTGTTATGTCAGTCACTGACAGTCACTCAATTAGCCCATGACAGCTAACATCTTTTAGATTGGTAAATCGGCCAGCTCTCTAAAATTGCAGTAATCATGGTGAAATTACCAACCGGGGGGGGGGGGGGGGGCCCATTGATTTTGTGAGTCACTCTTAGATATCATACTAAAAACGGCAAACATTTCTCTCTTCCTTAATGGCAACAGAATTGCAGGAAATTAGCTGTAAAACTGCTAATTTTTCTCTCTTCCTTAATGGCAAAATGGGTAGAATTGCTTCTCTCCTCCCCATGGCAAAATGTGTAGATTTGAAGGAAATGTAAATTGGATGAGTTATTTTTTGTGCAGGCCAGGACATCATCATGGAGAGGCTTACCATCATGTTCATCAGCAGGATGGGCATGAAGATGATAAACATCACCAACAAATAGAAGGTGAGGAAGGGAAATGGAAATTTGTTGTCTAGGTATATGTCCAGAAAGTTGCTTTGGTAATTCAGTTCTCCGACCATCATCACAAAGATCTGGATCACCGACAGGTCCAGTCGCTCAAACTCTTTCTAGAGAGCGAGAGAGAGAGCGAGAGAGAGCGAGAGAGAGCGAGAGAGAGCGAGCGAGAGCGAGCGCGAGAGAGAGAGAGAGATTTTAGTTCCATCATATCTCATATCTTCATTGATTTGAGGAAATTACAGATGACCTATGTAGGCCTTATACAAAACAATGTGTTGTTTAAAGTGGGACCAGTGTTTCTAATGTCTCTTCTCACCTGGTTGAGCATGAGAGCGTAAAAGCCCAAAGGGGAAAGCCAGCATCAGAAAGCAGAACAGCAACAGGATTTTAAACAACGTCCTCGCAATCTCCTGAAACATCACCACGTAGATCCCAAAGTGCTCAAACCTGGAAAGAAAAAAATACAAGACCCATGAGCACCAACATGTGAAGTAAAAATGGTACATAGGACATAGGAGCATGTACATAGGAGCATGTCAAATTGGGTGTCAAATGAAAAGCGAAGAGTCTTTATTTTGGAGAAAGGAAGGCATAGATACTTTTTTTTTTTTAAACCATTTTCCATTTGAATAATTAGGAACAAGTAATGGCTTTGATATCTGGTCAAAACAAATGGAAAAGGGGTCTTGGAAACCATATACCAGAAAAAGTCTTAAAAGGTATCAAATACATCAAAACACAACTATATTGAAGTAAAAAGCCCCTGCCAAATAATATATTATATATTTTATATATATAATACATCTTATATTTAGTTTTGGACAAATTATTTTCCTTGTAATTCCACTACCAAAAACCCACATATCTTTATGATATTTTTCAGATTTCTCTCCTTCATGAGGAGGGATAATGAACGTTAACTGAAGTCACAAGTAAAGGTAGACCTAACATTTAGTTCTAGTGTTCATGAATTATGAAGTGATTAAAAGTCGTAATTCTGTTACCAAAGTATGACAGAATTACAGAAAAATCTTTCACGGAATTACTGCAGGTGAATTGGCTACAATGGAAATCACAGTAGTCACAAACCACAGTGGGTCTCCTGCTACTGTCCTCCTGCTACTGTCCTCCTGCTACTGTCCTCCTGCTACTGTCCTCCTGCTACTGTCCTCCTGCTACTGTCATACTGTTATGTTCAGCTCATAGGGTCTCCTGCTACTGTCCTCCTTCCACTGGTATACTGTTATGTTCAGCTCATAGGGTCTCCTGCTACTGTCCTCCCTTCCACTGGTATACTGTTATGTTCAGCTCATAGGGTCTCCTGCTACTGTCCTCCTGCTACTGTCCTCCTGCTACTGTCCTCCTGCTACTGTCCTCCTTCCACTGGTATACTGTTATGTTCAGCTCATAGGGTCTCCTGCTACTGTCCTCCTTCCACTGGTATACTGTTATGTTCAGCTCATAGGGTCTCCTGCTACTGTCCTCCTTCCACTGGTATACTGTTATGTTCAGCTCATAGGGTCTCCTGCTACTGTCCTCCTTCCACTGGTATACTGTTATGTTCAGCTCATAGGGTCTCCTGCTACTGTCCTCCTGCTACTGTCATACTGTTATGTTCAGCTCATAACTGTTTTCTTTGTCTTTCTGTTGTCTGGTGGACAAAGCAAGAGTGTTAAAACAGTCTGGAAAACCCCTCCTTCTGTCTTTCTCTGCCTCTCTCTTCTCTATCTCCAGTTAAACGTCACCTCTCCCGGCTCTTACTGACGCCTACCCATGAGCCCCCTCTCTTTCCATTTACTGTAACCCGCAATTGACCCACTTAGCACCGACTGAGACCGGACGTCCATGGACGTTGAAAATAAGTTTACATTTGGTCTGTCCACCCTGGCTTTGATTTCAAAGTCTACAGACGTCATTTTTTGGTCCGGACCCGGCCTAGACTTCAACGTCTACAGACATTGATTTTTTTGGTCCGACCAAGACCGGCCTTGATTTGGCCCAAACATAGACGTCCGTGATTGGTGACCGGACCAAATCTGAAGCGATCATAAACGTCTTGGTTTCACAGGTTTGACAGCACAGTACAGTAATGAAAAGCAGAGTATAGTACAGTAGAGTATAGTACAGTAGAGTATAGTACAGTAGAGTACATTAGAGTAGAGTACCGTATAATGTACTGTAATGTACTGAACTCTACTCTACTTTTCTACTGTATTGTACTTTATTGAACTCAGTACTGTGATGTACTGTGATGTCCAAACTTGTGAAACATAGATGTCTATGATTGGTTCATATTTGGTCCGGTCCAACCAAATTTGGTCTTGTTTGGGGGCGGAACTCATTACAATAATAACCAGTGTGTAGAATATATACCTTTGTGTTCCTATTCTCACCATGAAGAGCACGACATTCTTATCCATCATTATGTATTGCTGTATAGCACAGATCAGGGACCCATGATGAAATTCCGTATTTCTGAGTCTCAGCGTATTTCCGTTACCAATCAATCAGTCAGTCAGTCAATCAATCAAACAACTCCATTGATTTGTGCACTAACAATCATCATAAAAATGAACAATCTGTAAATGACAGTAAAACAACGTTGTAATCTCGCTAGACAGAGACAAATCGGCTACATTGTTTGTTGGTAAATACCTTTGGAGATAGAGGAGGAAGTTAACCCATGACATGATAATGGCCAGCGCCCCAGCCTGCCAGTGCCAGGACCCCTCAGCGTTGAGGAACAGGGCGATTACGAAGACAAGAGAGAAGATGATTGAGTACCAGTCCTGAATGTTGGAGATGTCCTTCAAGTAACTCAAACGCTATTGAGGGAAAACAAGAGAATGTTATTTACACCAAAACCAAAACTAGAACTTAGAGCTTCAGCACCCAATGGACTTCAATGCACGAGTTACAACACTTTTTTTTTCTTTTGAGTGTTTTTCAAGTTAGGATAAGGCCTTCAAATTCTAAATTACCGTAGCTTTACTGAACACACCTTTCACTGATTTTGTATTACGAAACTCTGTTGAATGTCCCGACTGTAAGTCACTCTGGCTAAGAGCGTCTGCTGTACGACTTAAATGTAAATGTAGCCCGAAAAGATCCAGAACGACATTCCAACCTTTCAAACAGATTTCCGTATAATCACCCTATTACAGAACGCTTTCATGATTCGTCATGATGAGTGATGGTCTGCATGTTGTCACGCCCTGACTCGTGGGACTCTAGTATGTTGAGTCAGGGTGTGGATATTCTATGTTAGTATTTCTATGTTCACTTTCTAGGTTTTGTGTTTCTATGTTTGGCCGGGTGTGGTTCCCAATCAGAGGCGGCTGTCGCTCGTTGTCTCTGATTGGGGATCATACTTAAGTAGCCTGTTTGCATCATTAGTTGTGGGATCTTGTTCCGTGTTAGAGGCTTGTTTTGTGTTTAGCCTGAGGACTTCACGTTACGTTGTTTTTGTTGGAGTGTTTATTTTGTTAAATAAACATGTATGCATTTCACGCTGCGCCTTGGTCTGACCCGTCCTTCAACGTCCGTGACAGCATGTCCTCCACCCGCTCATACTGTGTGAAGGTTTCACCACGCAACATATACAGTTGAAGTTTACGTACACCTCCAACTGACTCAAATGATGTCAATTAGCCTATCAGAAGCTTCCACAGCCATGACATCATTTTCTGGAATTTTCCAAGCTGTTGAAAGTCACAGTCAACTTAGCATATGTAAACTTCTGACCCACTGGAATTGTGATACAGTGAATTATAAGTGAAATAATCTGTCCGTAAAAACAACTGTTGGAAAAATGACTTGTGTCATGCACAAAGTAGATGTCCTAACCGACTTGCCAAAACTATAGTTTGTTAACAAGACATTTGTGGAGTGGTTGAAAAAAACGAGTTTTAATGACTCCAACCTAAGTGTATGTAAACTTCCGACTTCAACTGTATTTATGGATCTGGGCACTGTGATAAAGGCACATTACTGTACCGGCGTAGGACAATGTTTTTTCCCCCTAATGTGCCTGACTATGAAAAGCCAACTGACATTGACTCCTGAGTTGTTGAACTGTTGCACCCTCTATACCCATCATGGTTATTATCTGACCCTGCTGGTCATCTATGAATGTTTTGAATGATCAAAAACAATCTGGCCTTAATGGCCATGTACTCTTAAATCTCCACCCGGCACAGCCAGAAGATGACTGGTCACCCCTCAGAGCCTGGTTCCTCTCTAGGTTTCTCTCTAGGTTTCTTCATCTTGTCAGATGTTTGAATACCTTGGGAGTATTCTAAAGCCAGATTGTCTCCATGTACCATATAACATTACATTCACATTTACATTTACATTTACATTTACGTCATTTAGCAGACACTCTTATCCAGAGCGACTTACAAATTGGTGCATTCAATTTATGGGAGTATTCTAAAGCCAGGCTGTATTCCATGTGTCACATAATTTTTTTAAAAATAAAACTCAGCACTCTTTATTTCTCAGGAGGAATGGAACAAATTGGCACAAGCTAATTCCAGTACTGCTCGGATTTAGAACACTCTCAAGGGTAAGAATAAAGTTTGATTTTAGATTGAAATGTCTTCCTAAGGTTAAGACTTCAGGAAGGTAAACTGATTCTAGATCCGTGCTTAGAGCAACATTGTCCTACTCCAGTATATTAATTTGCATGCAATTTGAGGATTTTTTGAGGAAAGTAAGCTGATCCTAGATCAGTACCTGATGGTACATCTGCATCACTTCCTTCCCCATGGAGTAGATGTTCATCACTAGCACCATCACCATGCAACTGGACAGGAAGGAATCTTGCTGTGGGGCAAAGAAAAAAAAAAAAAAAATAAAAAAAAAGTTAGATTCAGATTGTGAATGTTGCTTCCATCAAAACGTAGTGTATGTTCAACCGGAGGATTGTGAATGTGTGCTTGGGGTTATTGTCTGGCTGGAAAATCAACTGGAAGATCAACTTGCGGCCAAGTTTCAGTCTCCTGGCAGAGGCAACCAGATTTTTGGCTAAAATGTCCTGGTACCTGGTAAAGTTCATGATGCTGTTGACCTTAACAAAGCTCCAGGACCAGTGGAAACAAAATAACCCCATGGGGCTATTTTGCTTCCACTGCCAGTTTCTGCAGAGCGTGAGGTGTGAGTGTCGTGATGAATCAATTCCAGTTCATAATGAAATCGAGTCGTTATGAGTCGTTTCCAGTTCATAATGAGAGGTGTGATCAATTGTTTCCAGTTCACAATGAAAGAGATTCATGATGAATCGTTTCCAGTTCATAGTGAAAGAGAGTCATGCTAAATCGTTTCCAGTTCATAATGAAAGAGAGCCGCGATGAATCGTTTGCAGTTCATAATGAGAGTGACTAAATAAAGTAATAGGACATCAGAATGGCACCGGAGGAGATGGCTGCCGTTTTACGGCCGCTTAATCAATTGTGCTATTGGGTGTTTCTATGCATTATTTGTAACTTATTTTGTACATAATGTCTCTGCCACCATCTCTTATGACCGAAAAGAGCTTCTGGATATCAGGACAGCGATTACTCACCTCGTACTGGACAAAGATTTTCTATTTAACGAGTCGGACGCGAAGGATTTACTTCAGACACTCGACAAGGCCCAAATCCCCGTCATTCACATGAAGAAGACACAGAGATATCGGGGACGTAGGTCGGGGTGCCTTGTAAGGATCCGACAGCGAGTGGGTAATCTGCCTCTACCATCAGTCCTATTAGTCAACGTACAATCATTGGATAACAAAATGGATGAGCTCCGATCAAGAATATACTACCAACGGGAAATTAATAACTGTAATATCTTATGTTTCACCGAGTCGTGGCTGAACGACGACATGGACAACATACAGGTGGCTGGGTTTACGCTGCTTCGGCAAGATAGAACAGCTGCCTCCGGTAAGACAAGGGGTGGCGGTCTGTGTATATTTGTAAATAACAGCTGGTCCGCCATTGGACTCTGGAGCAATCAATCACGCTTCACCATCTGGCAGTCCAACGGTCGAATCTGGGTTTGTCGGATGGCAGGAGAATGCTATCTGCCCGAATGCATAGTGCCAACTGTAAAGGCTGTTTTTCATGGTTCGGGCTAGGCCCCTTAGTTCCAGTGAAGGGAAAACGTAACGCTACAGCATACAATGTACTTCCAACTTTGTGGAAACAGTTTGGGGAAGGCCCATTCCTGTTTCAGCATGACAATGCCCCCATGCACAAAGCGAGGTCCATACAGAAATGGTTTGTCGAGATCCGTGTGGAAGAACTTGACTGGCCTGCACAGAGCCCTGACTTCAACCCCATCGAACACCTTTGGGATGAACTGGAACGCCGACTGCGAGCCAGGCCTAATCTCCCAACATCAGTGCCTGACCTAGCTAATGCTCTTGTGGCTGAATGGAAACAAGTCCCCGCAGCAATGTTCCATCATCTAGTGGAAAGCCTTCCCAGAAGAGTGGAGGCTGTTATAGCAGCAAATGGGGGACCAACTCCATATTAACACCCATGATTTTGGAATGAGATGTTCGATGAGCAGGTGTCCACATACTTTTGTAAATGTAGATTAGGACCGTTTGAGCGGTTACACTTTTATATGATGTGTTAAATTGCTTACAACATAAAAATCATTGTGCTGCCTTATTTATAGACCTTTCGAAGGCCTTTGACATTGTTGACAATCACATTCTCATTCAAAGGTTGACTGAAATAGGCCTGGATCAGCCTTCTTGCAAGAGGTTTGAGAATTATCTGTCAGACAAGGACACAAGCTGTGATTTCTGATGGTGTCAAGTCAAGGTATCTCGATATCACTAAAGGTGTGCCAGAGATGTTGATTTTGGGACCTGTCCTCTTTACTATTTATATAATTTAATATTGGTTTATATGCAAAAACTTGTGCCATTCATCTGTATGCTATTGCCCCTACGGCTAAACAGGCTATTTTGTCGCCTTGCAGAAAGTCCTTCTTGATTGAATATTGGTAGTTAATGCAGGAAAAACTAAATGTAGGCTGTTTTCTAATTCTCTTAGAAATATTTGAGATGGCTTACACATTTATGCCTTGAATGGTTCTTTTCATTGAGCAGGTTCCCGCCTATAAATATCTCTGCTTTTGGATTGGACAAGGAACTAATGTAAAAAAAAAAAAAAAAAACATACTGATGAGCTAGTTAAAAAGCTAATATTTAAAGTGGGCTTCTATTTTTTTTTCAGAAATAGATATTGCGTATTCCTAAACAGCAGGATGCAGATTGTACAGTCAACTTCCCTGCCAGCTCTTGACTACGGTGACTCCATTAACCAGAATGCAGCAGCCACTACTCTTAAGCCTTTGGACCCAGTCTACCATAGCGCCCTTCGCTTTATCACAGGAGACAGTTATAATACTTACCACTGCGTCCTGTATCAATATGTTGGCTGGTCCTCATTAAAGTCCCCCTAGATCACTTCACTATTCCCTTTTTTTGTTAACAAAGCTCTACTACACAAGCGTCCAACTTACCTCACTATGTTGTTGAAGTATAAAAACACGAGATACCAAACCCCGTTCACGGGACTCCACCAAAATTACAATTAATCTGCTTTTAGTTTTTACCGCTGGAACAACTTGCAGAACTAATTACAATTAGATGTTCTCGGGCAGTTTAGAGTGTTAATAGAGGACATAGTAGTTGAGGACTGTAACATTTTTTCTTCTTATATTTTTTATTTTATTTTACAGTGCATTGATCGCCGTTTTGTTTCATATTGTATTGTACTGTGTTGTTGTGTTATGAGACCCTGGTGTCAATTTGTTTCCCTGAATAAATAAAGAATAATAATAAATGCTTACACATCATGAAATATATTGAGGCACAAATGACAGACAGTAACCCTAGTATTTAGCTAAATAGAATTCAATTGAATGAAAATATATAGGCCCTACGTAGCCTGTAATGTATTCATCTTTTGCAGTCATCTCGGTTTTCATTTGAAGCACAGTTTTATTCTTCGCTTGTTTGCAACAATTGCAAAGACATTGGTAACTTTGTATTTGTAGTCAACTTTCTTCTGAAGTCATCAGCGGTCACAGAGAGATGGATCAACCTCTTTATTCTGTGTTTAGCGGAGATCTTCTGTGTATGAAGTGGCCTGCACACAATACTCCATAATGTCAAAGTGGAATTATGTTTTTCAACATTTTTTACAAATTAATACAAAATCAAAAGCTGAAATGTCTTGAGTCAATACGTATTCAACCCCTTTGTTTTGGCAAGCCTAAAAAATGTACTTAACAAGTTGCATGGACTCATTATGTGTGCAATAACAGTGTTTAACAATGATGTTTTTATGACTACCTCATCTCTGTACCCCACACATGCAATTATCTGTAACATCCCTCAGTCGAGCAGTGAATTTCAAACACATTTACGTCATTTAGCAGTCACTCTTATCCCGAGCGCCTTACAGTAGTGAGTGTATGCTTTTTTATATTTGTTCATACTGGTTCCCAGTGGGAATCGAACCCACAACCCTGGCGTTGCAAGTGCCATGCTCTACTAACTGAGCTACACAAGACATTATGGCTCAGAATCAACTGCAAAGACCAGGGAGGTTTTCCAATGACTCACAAAGAAGGGCACCTATTGGTAGCAGCCATTGACTATCCCTTTGAGCATGGTGAAGTTATTAATTACACTTTGGATGGTGTATCAATACACCCAGTCACTACAAAGATACAGGCGTCCTTCCTAACTCAGTTGCCGGAGAGAAAGGAAACCGCTCAGGGATTTCACCATGAGGCCAGTTACAGAGTTTAAATGCTGGGATAGGAGAAAACTGAGGATGGATCAACACCATTGTAGTTACTCCACAATACTAACCTAATTGGCAGAGGGAAAAGAAGGAAGCTTGTACAGAATAAAAATATAGCAAAAAATGCATCCTGTTTGCAACAAGGCACCAAAGCAACACTGCAAAAAAATGTGGCAAAGCAATTCACTTTTTTGTCCTGAATACAAAGTGTTATGTTTGGGGCAAATCCAATACAACACATTACTGAGTACCACTCTCCATATTTTCAAACATAGTGGTGGCTGCATCATGTTATGGGTATGGTTATAATCGTTAAGGACTGGGCAGTTTATCAGGTTAAAAAATAAACAGAATGAAGCTAAGCACAGGCAAAATCCTAGAGGACAACTTGGTTCAGTCTGCTTTCCACTAGACACTAGGAGATGAATTCACCTTTCAGCAGGACAATAACCTATAACACAAGTCCAAATCTACTCTGGAGTTGCTTACCAAGAAGACAGTGAATGTTCCTGAGTGGCCCAGTTACAGTTTTGACTTAAATCTGCTTGAAAATCTATGGCAAGACCTGAAAATGGTTGCCTAGCAACAATCAACAATCAATTTGACAGAGCTTGAAGAATTCTGAAAAGAATGACGGGCAAATGTTGCACAATCCAGGTGTGGCAAGCTCTTAGAGACTTACCCAGAAAGACTCACAGCTGTAATCGCTGCCAAATGTGCTTTTACAGAGTATTGACTCAGGGGTGTGAATACTTATGTAAATGAGATGTTTCTGTATTTCATTTTAAATAAATGTGCACAAAAAAAATGTCAACATGTTTGCACTTTGTCATTATGGAGTATTGTGTTTAGATGGGTGCGATTTTTATTTATTTTCGCATTTTGAACGCAGGCTGTAACACAACAAGATGTGAAATTAGTCGACGGGTATGACGGGTCTGACGGGTATGACGGGTATGACGGGTCTGACGGGTATGACGGGTATGACGGGTATGACGGGTCTGAATACTTTCTGAAGGCGCTGTAGGTGGTTGTCGGGAGGCAGTCGGTAAATAAGAATTATTTTCAACTTTAGTAACAACGGTTTTGGGAAACAACTCGGCTACTAAAAATATATAATATAATATGGTTCTAACGATGATCTTAACGCTACGAAGGCTCTGGGAAACGAGGCCCAACGGGGGGGGGGGGTGTCTTCCCTTCACCTTCTGGACAAGGGAGTAAGTTATCTTAGTTATCAGAGTTACACATTATCTCTGCCATGAAGTCACCTACTGTGTCCCCCAAATGGCACCCTATTCCCTATATAGTGCACTACTTTTGACCAGAGCCCTATGACACCCTATTCCCTATATAGTGCACTACTTTAGACCAGAGCCCTATGACACCCTATTCCCTATATAGTGCACTACTTTAGACCAGAGCCCTATGACACCCTATTCCCTATATAGTGCACTACTTTAGACCAGAGCCCTATGACACCCTATTCCCTATATAGTGCACTACTTTAGACCAGAGCCCGATGGGCCCTACATGGGAATATAGTACCCCTATAGTGTGTCCTGTCAGACCTCTGGGTGTCATCCTTCTTATATATCTACAGACAGTTGCAGTGTGTGTGTGTGTATGAATCGACTCGGTAACCTGGTTCCTGGACTTTAGACACCTGTCTTTCTATAGCAGCGTTTTTTCCCAAACTCGGCTCTCGGGACCTTAAGGTGTAAACACGTTGGTTTTAGCCCTATAGCACTACACAGCGTGTTCAAATGTTCAAAGCTTAATGATGAGCTGATTATTTGAATTCCTCAGGACAGAGATGGTATCTATAGTAGTGTGTTGTTTAAAGAAATGAAAATCCCCTCCATTAATCTGTTTGCCCACTAGACCTTGTACATAGTAACGATCATACGTTATTTTTAATCCCTCTTGTGTTATTCACTAGCCAATCCATGTAGCTCTCCTCCCATGCACTCACTTTTATTTTTGTTGGTCAACACAAAGCATCTGCTCTTTTCACTACACACACACACACACACACACACACTATTACAGCTGAGTCCACAGCACCTGGCGGTTGACAGCCATGCAGCGGGTATCAACGTGCAGTACCTCTCTGAAGGAAATGGGCACCATGGTGACAGCTGTGGTGTTGTCAGGGCCGGTGTAGTCCAGGCTGGGTCTCAGGCTCACTATGAGGTGGGTGAGAGGAAGCAGGCCAAGCAGGTACAATAACAGGTTCAGAAGGTGAGCAGCGCTCCCGTAGGCCACCCTGCAGTTGGGAACAGAAGAATCGTAACCGCTTCAATTAACAGAAGAAGAAAAAAATACCTGCCCACAGCAAGTGGAAAACCAACGTTCATCACTCTGAAGTAGGGTGTTTCTGGTAATTTTCTCAAAATTCCTAGGTTTTCCAGAAATCTTGGTTGTAAAATTCCTGAAACTTTCCCCAATTTCCCAGATTTTCCAGAAATCTTGGTTGTAGAATTCCTGAAACGTTCCCCAAATTCCCAGATTTTCCAGAAATCTTGGTTGTAGAATTCCTGAAACTTTCCCCAAATTCCCAGATTTTCCAGAAATCTTGGTTGTAAAATTCCTGAAACTTTCCCCAACTTATTCCCTTCTTATTCCGCCGGGAATCTTTCAACCAGGATTTCTGGAAAACCTGGGAATTTGGGGAAGGTTTCAGGAATTTTGCAACCCTACTGTGAATACTAACCACTTCATAGAATAATTGTAATACATGTAGGGAATAGGGTGCCATTTAGGATGTAGAATACTAACCACTTCATCTCCAGGTATTTCTTGCAGACGGGGTGTGTGAGGAGCGACATGCTGTTGTAGTTTACCATCGCCTCAGAGAGAGAACAACAACAGGTTGGTGATTATGTGGATCATTGAGATCGGATAATAATCTCTGTCTGAATAGCAAGGGAAAAACCCCAGCAAACTGGTTGGTCTTTGATGCTTCCAACAGTTTATGGATCTTTTGTACCCCTACGTTTCGTTCTCAATAGACCTTCACCAGACTGTTTATAGATCTGTCTGTCGCAGGGATCCCCGTTCTGTTACATGCATGCTTGCTCTTAACAATAGATCTACAATAGAAATCTAAGGAGATAGTTTTGTACTTGTATTGTAGCCACTTACATTCAGAGCGGCGAGTGGCTGGATCTTCACACTTTTGTCAATATTTGAGTGCTTCTTCAGTGCTATCGGTGCCTGAAGCCACTGGAAATTGTACTCAATCTACACAACAGAAAGAAACTGTATGAAAATGATAGCAAATACATCAATCCCTTTTTCTGTAATTATACAGTATTGAGTGTGTATCGTAGTGTAAGGCTGAAGATAAGAATGGAAACCTGGCAGGGACGCTGCGACTTCACGTTTCACAATAAAAGTCCCACACATTATGTTATCACAATAAAAAAAAGTCTCACAGTAGAATTTACACACATGATAGTCAGGACTGTTGCTGTCATCGTCCGACTCTCTGATGCAGCGGTCCAGTAGGTGCTGAGGAGGTTAGAGGGAGATAACAGGGGACATTATCATCAGGGAGATAACAGGGGACATTATCATCAGGGAGATAACAGGGGACATTATCATCAGGGAGATAACAGGAGACATTATCATCAGGGAGATCACATGGGACATTATCATCAGGGAGATAACAGGGGACATTATCATCAGGGAGATAACAGGGGACATTATCATCAGGGAGATAACAGGGGACATTATCATCAGGGAGATAACAAGGGACATTATCATCAGGGAGATAACAGGGGACATTATCATCAGGGAGATAACATGGGACATTATCATCAGGGAGATAACAGGGGACATATCATCATGGGAGGATAACAGGGGACATTATCATCAGGGAGATAACAAGGGACATTATCATCAGGGAGATAACAGGGGACATTATCATCAGGGAGATAACAGGGGACATTATCATCAGGGAGATAACAGGGGACATTATCATCAGGGAGATAACAGGGGACATTATCATCAGGGAGATAACAGGGGACATTATCATCTGGTTAATCATCTGGTTAGCACTGCAAAATTCTAGTAACTTTCCATAAATTCCCAATTTTTCCAGAAATCCTGGTTGGAGGATTCCGGATTTCCTGCTTATTCCCTCCTGATTTCGGGAAACTTCCAACTGGGATTTCTAGAAAACCAGGGAGTTTTGGGAAAGTTTATGGGAATTGTATTTAAAAATAAATAAATAAAATATTATCCCAATTTCAAACTTGTCTCATCGCTGCAACTCGCCAAACAGGCTCGGGAGAGGCGAAGGTCGAGTAATGCGTCCTCCGAAACATGACCCGCCTAACCACGCTTAACCCGGAAGCCAGCTGCACCAACGTGTCAGAGGACACACTGTTCAACTGACGACCGAAGTCAGCCTGCAGGCTCCCGGCCCGCCACAAGAACGTGTTGAGCCAAGTAAAGCCTCCCCCTGGCCAAAACCCTCCCCTAACCACGCTGGGCCAATTGTGCACCACCCCATGGGTCACCCGGTCAGTAATGACACAGCCTGGGATTGAACCCCAGGCTGTAGTGACGCCGCAACACTGCGATGCAGTGCCTTAGACCGCTCCACGACTCGGGAGGCCCAAGTTACCAAAATGATGCAACGCCACACACTGGTTAAATACTTTTCCAACACATTAATTTATAAAGGCAATGCCCAAGCACAAGCCTATCATCACAAAACCTTATTTTATCAAGTCAGTTGACTGAGAACAACACCAATGATGACTACATACAGTGGGCATATATAAGTATACACAGTTTCATTGCTACATGTTGCTATCATTTCACAATAACATACTGTATTGGAATTGTTCAGGTGTGTGAGGGCAAACCTTGAAAGACTCTGGCAGCAAGTCGACCAGGTCCAACACTGGACAACGTTGGCCAGCATCACATCTGAACGTCCTCAGGGTGTCACTACATCTGCAACGAAACAAACAAATATGCATGGACACACCACTGTGTTTATCTGGAAGGATCCAAAAAACATTCAGAAGTCTTTGAAAGCAGCCAGACTACAGGGCCCAGAGTTGTTCCTGTCCTGATGACCTGACCTACTCGTGGCACAAAAGGGTCATCAGGACAGGAAAAACTCTGGGTTAGGGACACACTGGACTAGGGTTGTGAAATACCAGTAGCTTTCTCAAAATCTGTTCCAGAAATCTCGGTTGGAGGACTATAGATTACCTACCTACTCCCTCTTAATTCCGGGAAACTTCTAACCTGTCACTGTTGATGATGACCTGACCTAACCCTCTGGAATCTTCCAACCAGGAACCAGAACCTAAGGGATATGGGCAATCTGTTTGGAGCCGGAGAAGATGGCTGCCGTTTTACATACCCCAACCAGAAGGCAACATCCGCACTGAGCTAAAGGGTAGAGCTGCCGCTTTCAAGGAGCGGGACTCTAACCCGGACGCTTATAAGAAATCCCGCTATGCCCTCAGACGAACCATCAAACAGGCAAAGAGTCAATACAGGACTAAGATTGAATCATACTACACCGGCTCTGATGCTCGTCGGATGTGGCAGGGCTTGAAAACTATCACAAACTACAAAGGGAAGCACAGCCACGAGCTGCCCATTGACACAAGCCTACCAGATGAGCTAAACCACTTCTATGCTCGCTTCGAGGTAAGCAACACTGAAGCATGCATGAGAGCACCAGCTGTTCCAGATGACTATGTGATCACGCTCTCCGTAGCCGATGTGAGTAAGACTTTTAAGCAGGTCAACATTCACAAGGCCGCAGGGACAGATGGATTACCAGGACGTGTACTCCGAGCATGTGCTGACCAACTGGCAAGTGTCTTCACCAACATTTTCAATATGTCCCTGACTGAGTCTGTAATACCAACATGTTTCAAGCAGACCACCATTGTCCCTGTGCCCAAGGACACTAAGGTAACCTGCCTAAATGACTACCGACCCGTAGCACTGATAGCCATGAAGTGCTTTGAAAGGCTGGTCATGGCTCACATCAACACCATTATCCCAGAAACCCTAGACCCACTCCAATTTGCATACCGCCCCAACAGATCCACAGATGATGCAATCTCTATTGCACTCCACACTGCCCTTTCCACCTGGACAAGAGGAACACCTACGTGAGAATGCTATTCATTGACTACAGCTCAGCGTTCAACACCATAGTGCCCTCAAAGCTCATCACTAAGCTAAGGATCCTGGGTCTAAATACCTCCCTCTGCAACTGGATCCTGGACTTCCTGACGGGCCGCCCCCAGGTGGTAAGGGTAGGTAACAACACATCTGCCACGCTGATCCTCAACACGGGGGCCCCTCAGGGGTGCGTGCTCAGTCCCCTCCTGTACTCCCTGTTCACCCATGACTGCATGGCCAGGCACGACTCCAACACCATCATTAAGTTTGCCGACGACACAACAGTGGTAGGCCTGATCACCAACAACCATGAGACAGCCTATAGGGAGGAGGTCAGAGACCTGGCCGTGTGGTGCCAGGATAACAACCTTTCCCTCAACGTGACCAAGACAAAGGAGATGATTGTGGACTACAGGAAAAAAAAGAGGACTGAGCACGCCCCCATTCTCATAGACAGGGCTGTAGTGGAACAGGTTGAGAGCTTCAAGTTCCTTGGTGTCCACATCACCAACTAACTATCATGGTCCAAACACACCAAGACAGTCGTGAAGAGGGCATGACAAACGCCTATTCCCCCTCAGGAGACTGAAATGATTTGGCATGGGTCCTCAGATCCTCAAAAAGTTATATAGCTGCACCATCGCGAGCATCCTGACTGGTTGCATCACTGCCTGGTATGGCAACTGCTCGGCCTCCGACCGCAAGGCACTACAGAGGGTAGTGCGTACCGTCCAGTACATCACTGGGGCAAAGCTTCCTGCCATCCAGGACCTCTATACCAGGCAGTGTCAGAGGACGGCCCTCAAAATTGTCAAAGACTCCAGCCACCCTAGTCATAGACTGTTCTCTCTGCTACCGCATGGCAAGTGGTACCTGAGCGCCAAGTCTAGGTCCAAAAGGCTTCTCAACAGCTTCTACCCCCAAGCCATAAGACTCATGAACAGCTAATCATGGCTACCCAGACTATTTGCACCCCCACCCCATATTTTTTTTACGCTGCTGCTACTCTGTTAATTATTTATGCATTGTCACTTTAACCCACATGTACATATTACCTCAACTACCTCAACTAGCCGGTGCCCCCGCACATTGACTCTGCATCGGTACCCCCCTGGATATAGCCTCCCTACTGTTATTTTATTTAACTTCTGCTCTTTTTTTCTCAACACTTTTTTGTTGTTGTTGTTTCATTTTACTTTTTTATTAAGAACTAAATGCATTGTTGGTTAAGTGCTGTAAGTAAGCATTTCACGGTAATGTCTACACCTGTTGTATTCGGCGCATGTGGCAAATACAATTTGATTTGATTTGATTCGAATTTCGCAACCCTCAGCCCACATGACTGATCAAACCTGTCACTGTCGATGATGGCGTTGACCACATCCTTCCTCCCATGTTGCAGTGCTTCGTGGAAAAAGGAGGCGTGGTTCTTGTTGAGGCTGATCTCCGCCCCTCTCCGCAGCAGCAGTCTTACTGCAGCTACATGGCCCTCCCTGGCTGCCACGTGCAGGGCAGAGCTCTGATCACAACAACAACACACATCGTCACCTAATCAACACATCACGTGCAGCACAGAGCTCTGATCACAACAACAACAACACATTGTCACCTAATCAACACATCTCCAGGAATGTTTAATGATTCATTCATTCATTGAGAAGCCTCTGAAGAATAAAAGCATTTAAAAATAATTAATCTTGCTTCCAAAGGGGGTGCTTATTGCTGTTAGAATGTCTAGGTCGGCTACATATCATAGCATGGCAGCTAAAAACGGAATTGTCCTGAACTTAGCGAAAGACAGAATGAAACATAGAGGTTGTCTGTCTGAAACGTAAAGGTTGTCTGAAACATAAAGGTTGTCCGAACCCCATCCTCGTCCAGCATGTCCAGTAGTTTGATGTTGGCAGCCAGGACGATCTTCGCGGTCCGAGTGTACCCCTCCGCCGCCGCATGGTGTAGACAGGTCCACCCTTTGTAATCACTAAGGAAGAGAGAGTAGAGACACAGACAGCACCCGTGACAATAACACACCATCACATCCTCCATGTAGGGTTTCAAAATTCAGCTAACTTTCCCAGAAATCCCAGTTGAAGAATCCCAGATGACCTATTGATACCCTCCTGATTCTAGGAATCCGTGATTTCAGGATAACCAGGGACATTTACAGAAATGTTGGTGACCCTACTCCTATGCTAATATTTACAGATTGACTTTAAATGCTGTTGCAAACCTTTAAAAGACAAGAATCAGTGCCACTGTCTTTCGCACTGTGAACAGTATGCCCAGTCATGTACAGATGTTGTTAGTACCAGTGAAAGAGAGCTCCTTTACGAAGCAGCAGTTCCACCACCTTGGTGTGTCCCCCTCCAGAGGCCAGGTGTAGCGGGGTCAAGCCTCTCTCGTCCCCCTCGTTCAGCAGGCGGGAGTCTGTGATGGTCTCCAGCAGACGCTGGCATGTGTTAATACGACCATACCTGATGAGAGGAGAGGAGGGTTAGGGGTATACTTAGGGGCATACGTGGTGTTAATACGACCATACCTGATGAGAAGAGATTGAGACGCAGCCCATGCAACAAAAAAAACAACATATCTCCAGCTTAAACAGACAGATTTTTATGGGAATGTTTACAATATGCTAATTAGATTTGGGCAGGGGCACGGACATCGACTCTAGGGGGTTCTTTCATTTCACACCATCAGGAGCTCATGTTAATCAGCTAACATTGGCTAATGTTCCCTCATTTCACACCATCACCAGCTCATGGTAATCTGCTAACATTGGCTAATGTTCCCTCATTTCACACCATCATCAGCTCATGGTAATCAGCTAACATTGGCTAATGTTCCCTCATTTCACACCATCATCAGCTCATGATAATCCGCTAACATTGGCTAATGTTCCCTCATTTCACACCATCATCACCTCATGATAATCCGCTAACATTGGCTAATGTTCCCTCATTTCACACCATCATCACCTCATGATAATCAGCTAACATTGGCTAATGTTCCCTCATTTAACACCATCATCACCTCATGATAATCCGCTAACATTGGCTAATGTTCCCTCATTTCACACCATCACCAGCTCATGATAATCAGCTAACATTGGCTAATGTTCCCTCATTTCACACCATCAGGAGCTCATGGTAATCAGCTAACATTGGCTAGAGTTCCCTCATTTCCCACCATCATCACCTCATGATAATCAGCTAACATTGGCTAATGTTCCCTCATTTCACACCATCATCACCTCATGATAATCCGCTAACATTGGCTAATGTTCCCTCATTTCACACCATCATCAGCTCATGATAATCAGTTAACATTGGCTAATGTTCCCTCATTTCACACCATCAGGAGCTCATGATAATCAGCTAACATTGGCTAATGTTCCCTCATTTCACACCATCAGGAGCTCATGGTAATCAGCTAACATTGGCTAATGTTCCCTCATTTCACACCATCATCACCTCATGATAATCAGCTAACATTGGCTAATGTTCCCTCATTTCACACCATTATCACCTCATGATAATCCGCTAACATTGGCTAATGTTCCCTCATTTCACACCATCATCACCTCATGATAATCAGCTAACATTGGCTAATGTTCCCTCATTTCACACCATCATCAGCTCATGGTAATCCGCTAACATTGGCTAATGTTCCCTCATTTCACACCATCAGGACCTCATGGTAATCAGCTAACATTGGCTAATGTTCCCTCATTTCACACCATCAGGAGCTCATGCTAATCAGCTAACATTGGCTAATGTTCCCTCATTTCACACCATCATCAGCTCATGCTAATCAGCTAACATTGGCTAATGTTCCCTCATTTCACACCATCATCATCAGCTCATGCTAATCAGCTAACATTGGCTAATGTTCCCTCATTTCACACCATCATCAGCTCATGCTAATCAGCTAACATTGGCTAATGTTCCCTCATTTCACACCATCATCAGCTCATGCTAATCAGCTAACATTGGCTAATGTTCCCTCATTTCACACCATCAGGAGCATTCCGTTACATGTTCATTCATCAGTAACTGGATCACCATTGTGGTGAGCACTCCATTGTGTATAGATGACTAATCGATTGTTTAATGATCAAGGCATGCTCGTTAGCGTTCACCTAGCTGTAATGAATCAGCGATAAAGGAGGCATCCTCAATGGCACCCTATTTTCTACATAGTGGTCAAAGTAGTGCACTACAAAGGGAATAGGGTACCATTTGGGATGCCACCAAGCTCTATGGGTGCAACTCAATAGTCTTAAGTGGCCTCCTCCCTCAATACCCTTCACCTGTGCTGATGGGAAAAGCCAGATCAAAGCGATGTGTTGGAAGCCTGTAGTGCACTACAAAGGGAATAGGGTACGATCCCACGATGGTTCTGGATACTGTAACAAATACCTGATCGACTCCGTGCACAGACATTTGTTTGGAAAACGAACATGGCTATTGAAAGGCAGGTTTGACGGAAACCAGAGGCCTCATTAATAACCAGTGGGTGGATTTCACAGTAGATATCTGCGCGTGCCATTTCTGGAAAGAATACATACAGCAAAAAAAAAAAAAGTGAAATGTATAAACTTGGCGCACCCGCATGTTTCCCTCTATAAATCCAACCTGTAGTAAAATAGTGTGTGGTTGGTGGCACCTTAATTGGGGAGGACAGGCTCATGTTAATGACTGGAACGGAATTAGTGGAATGGTTTCAAATACATCAAACACATGGTTTCCATGGTTTCCAGGTATTTGATGCCATTCCATGTACGCCGTTCCAGCCGTTATAATGAGCTGTCCTACCCTCAGCAGCTTCCACTGGTGTGAAGGACCATTAAAACTCAGCCCTGAATACGACCTCCATTCACCGTTCATTCACTGTACCATTTTGTGTTTGTAGAATGCGTGTGTCTGGAAATGGACTGTCAGTTTCTGAAGGAGAACACGATGGTATACTGTCGTGGGCCTGTCAGCAGAAAGAACATTTGAATTCAACAATATTTTTGCATCAGCTTTTCCCCCAACCTAGATATGATGGACTGCCCACCAGGGACAGACTGGGACACTAATTAATGCACTCGCCACCAACTGTCTATATGTCTGCCTGTCTGTCTGTCTGTCTGCCTGTCTGGCTGTCTATATGTCTGCCTGTCTATATGTCTGCCTGCCTGCCTGCCTGCCTGCCTGTCTGGCTGTCTGTCTGTCTATATGCCTGCCTGCCTGCCTGTCTGTCTGTCTGTCTGTCTGTCTGTCTGTCTGCCTGCCTGCCTGTCTGGCTGTCTATATGCCTGCCTGCCTGCCTGTCTGTCTGTCTGTCTGTCTGTCTGTCTGTCTGTCTGTCTGCCTGCCTGTCTGGCTGTCTATATGCCTGCCTGCCTGCCTGCCTGCCTGTCTGCCTGGCTGTCTGTCTGCCTGCCTGCCTGCCTGCCTGTCTGCCTGTCTGTCTGTCTGTCTGTCTGTCTGTCTGTCTGTCTGTCTGTCTGTCTGTCTGTCTGTCTGTCTGTCTGTCTGTCTGCCTGCCTGCCTGCCTGCCTGCCTGCCTGCCTGCCTGTCTGGCTGTCTATATGCCTGCCTGCCTGCCTGCCTGCCTGCCTGCCTGCCTGCCTGCCTGCCTGCCTGCCTGTCTGTCTGCTTGTCTGTCTGCCTGTCTGTCTGCCTGCTTGCCTGCCTGCCTGTCTGCCTGCTTAAACCTTATACTTTATGAATACCAAGAGTTAGGCTATAGTGCCTGCCATACAGTGCCTTCAGAAAGTATTCACACCCCTTGACTTTTTCCACATTTTCTTGTGTTACAGCCTGAATTTAAAATTGATTACATGTAGATGTTGTGTCACTGATCTACACACAATGTCAAAGTGGAATTATGTTTTTGGAAATGTTTAAAAAATAATACAAATGAAAAGCAGAAATGTCTTGAGTGAATACGTATTCCAACCCCTTATGTTATAGCACGCTTAAATAAATTCAGGAGTAAAAATCTGCTTAATTTAACAAGTCACATACTATAAGTTGCATGGACTCACTCTGTGTGCAATAATAGTGTTTAACATGATTTTTAACTGACTATCCCATCTCTGTACCCCACAAATACAATTATCTGTAAGGTCCCTCAGTCGAGCAGTGTCTCGCCCTGGCCTATATAACTCTAGTTAGTTTGGTCAGGGTGTGAATATTATTTGTGTATTTCTAGGTTTGGCCGGGTTGTGATTCCCAATCAGAGGCGGCTGTCGCTCGTTGTCTCTGATTGGGGATCATCCTTAGGCGGCCTGTGTTCCTGACTGGGTTGTGTGATCTTGTTTGTGCTCGGTGAGTTTGGGCTTGTTAGTGTACAGCCTTCCGACGTCACGTTTCGTTGCCTTTTGTGTGTTTATTCAGTTTAATAAACATGTATGCATTTCACGCTGCGCCTTGGTCTGACCCGTTCTTCAACGACCGTGACAAGCAGTGAATTTCAAGCACAGATTCAACCACAATGAGCAGGAATGTTTTCCAATGGTTCGCAAAGAAGATTGGTAGATGGGTAAAGAAAAAAGCAGACATTGAATAGCCATTTGAGCATGCCGCAGTTATGAATTACACTTTGGATGGTGTATCAATGCACCCAGTCACTACAAAGATACAGGCGTCCTTCCTAACTCAGTTGCCGGAAAGGAAGGAAACCACTCAGGGATTTCACCATGAGGCCAACGGTGACTTTAAAACAGTTACAGGATTGAATGGATGTGATGGGAAAAAACTAAGGATGGATCAACAACGTTGTAGTTACGCCACAATAGTAACCTTATTGACAGTGAAAAGAAGGAAGCCTGTACAGAATAAAAAATATTCCAAAACATGCATCCTGTTTGCAATAAGGCACTAAAGTAACATTGCAAAAAAAAATGGCAAATGAATTCACTTTTTGTCCTGAATATGAAACGTTATGTTTGGGGCAAATCCAACACATCACTGAGTACAACTCTTCATATTTTCAAGCATGGTGGCTGCATCATGTTATGGGTATGCTTGTCATCGGGAAGGAGTAGGGATAGAGCTAAGCACTGGCAAAATCGTAGAGGAAAACTTGGTTGAGTCTGCTTCCCAACAGGCACTGGGAGACAAATTCACCTTTGAGCAGGACAATTATAAAAATAAAAAAAGGCAAAATGTACACTGGAGTTGCTCACCAAGAAGACATTTAACTTAAAAAGCTTGAAAATCTATGGCAAGACTTGAAAATGGCTGTCTAGCAATTGTTAAAATAATATTCGGCAAATATTGTACAATTCAGGTGTGGAAAGCTCTTAGAGACTCATCCAGAAAGACTCACTGCTGTAATCTCTGCCAAAAGTGATTCTAAAATGTATTGACTCAGGGGGTTGAATACTTATCTAATCAATATATATATATATATATATATATTAGTGTTTTATTTTCCATAATAAAAAAATAAAAATGTTCTTCCACTTTGACATTTTGTGTAGATCGTTGACAAAAATGAATCCATTTTAATTCCACTTTGAAACACAACACAATGTGGAGAAAAAAAAAAAAAGTCAATGGGTGTGAATGTACTGTGTCTGTGTGTTCCCCTGTATCAACCGTAAGTGTCAATTACAGGGCTCCAAACTTACATCCCTCGGTGTCACTAACTAGTAAGGCTCATACACATAGCGCCAAATGTGGATCTGACGTTTGTTTGCCGATCATTCAGTGAGTTTTAGGGACATCCCGCTGTAGACTGCCTACATTTTTCACACTTTCACTGGATTCTACATGTAAAATCGGTTCCGCACTTGGTTCGCAAATTACGTTGGTTTGCAAATTAAGTTAAGAGGTGTTAAGTACTCTCGGGCCGGCAAAGGCTACTGGTGTGTCTGACCCTTACAGTTGGTGGCACCAGCCCATGATTTGGTCAGACCGAAATCATGAAATAATCATCTCATAAAGTAATTCATAGCGCTTTATTAAGAAGTGTAATAAATGGACTACTGAGGTATTCAATAAATAAGTTGTTTAGTCGAACATATTCAAGATATTTTGACCTAATCCAGTGATTGTCATGAATTTTGAGATACCAATTAGACTATAGTTGTTATATATTTTACTGTCAAAATAGGACTCCAGAATTAATTAATTACATCTTTATGTGCACTAACTAATATCATAGGTTAATTACTTTAGTTTTCCAAGGAAGTGGAAAGTGAAAACTCAAAACATGAACTAGGTCGCTAACTAAATATAATACCCATGTTTGTAGGCGTAACCGGTGTGAATTGGCTAGCTAGTTAGCGGGGGGGCATTTCAATCGTGACGTCACTCGCTCTTAGACCTTGATGTAGTTGTTTCCCCGTGCTCTGCAAGGTCGGCGGCTTTTGACGATGCATCGAGGGTGACTGTGGTTGATGTGTGCAGAGGGTCCCAGTTCAAGCCCAGGAGAGATGATAGAGGCAGTCCTTTTACATAGGCACCCTATCCATTTGTTTCACTATCCACGATCTTGGCTGTCTAACTCATGACAGAGTCGGAGCAGGTCTCGTTTGACTTTGAATGTGAGTTTGCGTGACATCAGCTCAGCCTATCAGAAAACCGCGGCCTGGACAATATTGATAGGGTGGCCTGCCGTTGGCCACTGATCAGCCAAAGGCTCAGTATAGATTAGAATAACAGAGAAATTGCAACAACAAAAACACACTCTCTACAAAGACAATCTACACACAGCGGTAGAATAGGTACTTCAAAGTGAAAGATCAACTGTCTTGATGTTGACCAGTTAAATATAAACTATAAACTGGGATCACATACAGCCTAATAGAGATACTCATTATAATTTGTTGTCTACTTGGGGAATATGAACCGGACAGAAAATATGATAACCGGTATAACCAGCATCACGAAAATAACTCACCTTTTAGCCAGGTAATTTTCTATGGCAACGAATCCTTCAGAACTAACCTGAGGGGTATCCTACAAATCAGGTTTGAGGAGTTAGCTAGGTAACTTTGGTCAACTCTGAGTTCAACGCATCCACCACTAGGCCTAACACCACTCACTGGGCAGCGAAGTGCAGCGCTGACTTCTTGTCCTTGGACTTGTGCTCCAGAGAGACCTGTAGAACCAGGATGTTGTTGACGGATTGGTGGATGCCCAGTCTGCAGGCGTAGTGGAGCGGAGTGCAGCCCTCATTGTCCTCAGTACTCAACAGATCCTTCACACTGCTGTGCTGTAGAGGGGGGGGGGGGGGGGGGGGGGGGGGGGGGGGGCAGGACACACACACACGTAAGTAAACAGATATGTACGCACACACCGAGCACACACACACACACACACACACAAACACACACTCTTCAACCCTGACTTCCCAAGAGCAGACAGACAGACAGACACTCTGTCCCTCCAAGAGCAGAGAGACAGACAGACATACACTCTGTCCCTCCAAGAGCAGACAGACACTCTGTCCCTCCAAGATCAGACAGACAGACAGACAGACAGACAGACACTCTGTCCCTCCAAGAGAAGACAGACAGACAGACACTCTGTCCCTCCAAGAGAAGACAGACAGACAGACATACACTCTGTCCTTCCAAGATCAGACAGACAGACAGACATACACTCTGTCCCTCCAAGAGAAGACAGACAGACAGACAGACAGACAGACAGACAGACACTCTGTCCCTCCAAGAGAAGACAGACAGACAGACACTCTGTCCCTCCCGAAGGGTCTACTAAAGTCTGTTAAGTCTGATTCATTCTGTACTGTAGCTAAAGGAGGCAACAGCAGAAGGCTGCTGCTTTTGGCAAACCTCTAAATGTATCCACTCACTGACTGTAAGTCGCTGTGGATGAGAGCGTCTGTTAAATGACTAAAATGTAAATGTAATAAACTATCATTGGTCACAGAGAGATGGTAATGAAATTAATGAGCCGGCGTGTAGGAACAGACTCGGGACAAATGGTTCATGGAGATAGAGAGAACATTTAATTATCTTTAAAAATAGGCAGTGTATATTTAGCTGACAGAAAATGATTGACAGCAGAAGGCGTTATGCCAACCCAATGTTTTTGTTTCTGAGTTTCCCTTACCCTAAACTTAACATCACTGAAACTATACCTAACCATAACCTCACTGAAACTATACCTAACCTTAACCTCTCTGAAACTATACCTAACCTTAACCTCACTAAAACTATACCTAACCTTAACCTCACTAAAACTATACCTAACCTTAACCTCACTGAAACTATACCTAACCTTAACCTCTCTGAAACTATACCTAACCTTAACCTTAACCTCACTAAAACTATACCTAACCTTAACCTCACTAAAACTATACCTAACCTTAACCTCACTAAAACTATACCTAACCGTAACCTCTCTGAAACTATACCTAACCTTAACCTTAACCTCACTAAAACTATACCTAACCTTAACCTCACTAAAACTATACCTAACCTTAACCTCAGTGAATTTATACCTAGCCTTAACCTCACTAAAACTATACCTAAACTTAACCCAACCCAAGTTCCTAAACCTAAACGTATCAGCATGGTGAAGTTATTAATTACACTTTGGATGGTGTATCAATACACCTAGTCACTACAAAGATACAGTCATCCTTCCTAACTCAGTTGCCAGAAAGAAGGGAAACCGCTCAGGGATTTCACCATGAAGCCAATGATGACTTTAAAACAGTTACAGAGTTTAATGAGGATAGATCAACAACATTGTAGTTACTCCACAATACTAATCTAAATGACAGAGTGAAAAGAAGGAAGCCTGTACAGAATAAAAATATTCCAAAACATGCATCCTGTTTGCAACAAGGCACCAGTGGTGTGTATTCATGGATGCCAAGGGAGCCAGGCTTCCCCAAAAACATTCCCCAAGAAAAAAAGAAAAAACTAACAAAATAATTTATCTTTCGTCTCTCTGTGTTTCATAAATGTCCTTCAAGTCGCTAAGAGGCTGAATTTATCTCACCGGATTAAGCATCCGAGCGAGCGAAAAAGCGCCTCAGTATGTGTAGCCCATCTATCTGATGCTGTCTGATCAAAAAGAGTATGACATTGTTGCCGCCCTAGCATTGAATGCAAGGGAAGCCAGCGAGCATTTGGCCTCCCTTGATAATTAAACAAGTATATAATAGCCAATCAGCGTTGAGCTAAACTGAGTGAGCTCACCTGTGAATGGTCCTGGCACACCAAAAAAAAAAAAAAGGTGTCACGAGAAGCCATGTTGGATTTGGCTTCATACCAATCACATTACATCAGAAGCCATGTTGGATTGTTGATTCTGATCCAACCATAAATTCATACATTGTGCGGCCTGGCCTGAGAGGGATGGAAGCTCAAACATTGTATGGCTAGGTGTGTAGGTAGGCTAATGTTGAATGTTGTCAGGTAGAGGAAGGTACATCCCTGATTTCCTGTCCCTTTTGTTCACTGGTTTTGGCACACATGAAGAAACACACACACACACACACACACACACACACACACACACACACACACACACACACACACACACACACACACACACACACACACACACACACACACACACACACACACACACACACACACACACACACACACACACACACACAGAGCAATCAGTAGGCTACCAAGGACAGCACACATCATATTTAGCTGACATTGATTGACTAAATCTTTTTTTGGTATCTTTCAGTTGTCCCTGTATTAGACTAAGCATAGCTGATTAGATGATGTTGAAATGTTGAAGTTGAAATGGTGCTGGAATAGTGGAGGCAGCTCCTGTTTTCTTTGCTTACTTGCGTGTAACTCTCTGTGGTTTTAAATCAGTAGTTGTTTAGTAGTCCTAAAATGTCGGAAACATTAATTTGCTTGACCCCTGCTGTAGGTCGTGTAACTGTTTGTTACATGGAATATGTTTTGTGGACTTCACCGGACAGATGTTGCTCTCCAGTTTTGTGAGGAAACAGGTGTGGCCTTAGACCTACAGTGCATTCGGAAAGTATTCAGACCCCTTGACTTTTTCCACATTTTGTTACGTTACAGAATCATCCTAAAATGGATTCAAATGTTTTTTTCTTTCTTATCAATCTACACATATTACCCCATAATGACAAAGCAAAAACAGGTTTGTAGAATAAGTAAAAAATATATATACAATTAAAATACTGAAATATTATATTTACATAAGTATACAGACCCTTTACTCAGGTCTTTCTTGAAGCACCTTTGGCAGCGATTACAGCCTAGAGTCTTCTTGGGTATGACGCTACAAGTTTGGCACACCTGTATTTGGGGAGTTTCTCCCATTCTTTTCTGCAGAGCCTCTCATGTTCTATCAGGTTGGATGGGGAGCGTCGATTCACAGCTATTTTCGGGTCTCTCCAGAGATGTTAGATCGGCTTCAAGTCCGGGCTCTGGCTGGGCTACTCAAGGACATTCAGAGACTTGTCCCGAAGCCACTCCTGCGTTGTCTTGGCTGTGTGCTTAGGGTCGTTGTCCTGTTGGAAGGTGAACCTTCACCCCAGTCTGAGGCACTCTGGAGAAGATTTTCATCAAGGATCTCTCTGTACTTTACTCCGTTCATCGTTCCCTCGATCCTGACTAGTCTCCCAGTCCCTGCCGCTGAAAAACATTTGTCTGGCCACCCTACCATAAATGCCTGATTGGTGGAGTGCTGCAAAGATGGTTGTCCTTCTGGAAGGTTCTCCCATCTCCACAGAGGAACTCTGATGCTCTGTCAGAGTGACCATTGGGTTCTTGGTCACCACCCTGACCAAGGCCCTTCTTCCCCGATTGCTCAGTTTGGCCGGGCAGGCCAGCTCTAGGAGGAGTCTTGATGGTTCCAAACTTCTTCCATTTAAGCATGATGGAGCCCACTGAGTTTTTTGGGGACTTTCAATGCTGCAGACATTTTTTGGTACCCTTCCCCAGGTCTGTGCCTCGACACAATCCTGTCTCAGAGCTTTACGGACAATTCCTTCGACCTCATGGCTTAGTTTTTTCTCTGACATGCACTGTCAACTGTGGGACTTTATATAGACAGGTGTGTGCCTTTCCAAATCATGTCCAATCAATTGAATTTACCACAGGTGGACTCCAATCAAGTTGTAGAAACATCTCAAGGATTACATTTGCTAACATTTCTAAAATCCTTTTTTTTTGCTATGTCATTATGGGATATTGTGTGTTGATTGACAAATAACATTTTTTATTTAATCAATTTTAGAATAAGTTTCACGACTTCCTCTGAAGCTGCCACCTCTCCTTGTTCGGGCAGGCTTCAGCGTTAGTCGTCACCGGCCTTCTAGCCACTGCCGCTCCTCATCTCATCATTCCATTTGTATTGTCTTGTTTACTATACACACCTGGTTCATATCCCCTCATCAGTACCTGTATAAGTGTTCCCTCTGCCCCCTTGTTTTTGTGTGTTATTGTTAATTGTGGAGGATAGTGAGCTCCGTGTATTTTGTATCGCCGGGATATTTCCCTGTGTGCCTTGTATTTTCCAGTGTGCCGCACTGGACTGTTTTGACGCATTACTGCGTAACTCTGTATTGGTGGAATAAAGCCTGTTATTCTGTGATTTACCCTCCTGTGCCTGACTCCTTCGACATCACCTCATCAAAGAATCACACACCTGACATGGAGTCAGCAGAAGAGGAGCACATGCCTGGAGTCGTGGCACGGGTCCGGAGCATTCGACGATGCTAGCCAGCTTGGGAGAAGTGATGGATCGGGTTCTCCATGTTGTCCAACGCCTGGAGAGGAGAGGATCCGATCTTTCGGGACCAGTGAGCTACCGGATCCAGCCATCCACACCCCAGCACCCAGAGGGATTCATATATCCCGACCACGGGATTTCGACAGGACAGCTGCCCTCTGCCAGGGATTCCTCCTACAAGTGGAGATATACTTATCAAAGCCCGGCTCCATCGGAGCAGAAAAAGGTGTCCGTCCTCGTCTCCTGCCTCTCGGGGAAAGCCCTGGAGTGGGCCAACTCAGTCTGGAGTGAAGGAGGAGCTGCGTTGGACAAGTACGGGGAGTTCGCTCGCCTCTTTTGGGCCGTCTTTGATCACCCGCCCGAAGGTAAAAGAGGCGGGCGATCGACTAGACCACCTGAGGCAAGGGACGAGGACCGGGCAGGACTTCACCCTGGAGTTTCGGACTCTAGCGGCTGGGTCCGGGTGGAACGAGCGGGCCCTCATCGACCTCTTCCGGTGCCACCTACGAGAGGACGTCCGAAGGGAGCTAGCCTGCCGGGACACCACGTTGTCCTTAATCAACTGGTGGACATGGCCACTCGGTTGGACAACCTGCTGGCTTCTAGAGGACGTCCTGGAAGGGGCCTTCCCGTTCCCCCCCCCCCCCCCCGGATCATGAGATGATGGAGCTGGGTGGAGCAGCGATACGGGAGAGAGGAGGACAACAGCGCCAGTGTCACTCTTGTGGCACGAGAGGACATTCTCCTGCAAGCTGTCGTCTGCGTTCTTTGGGGTCTTGAGGCGGCAGGCAGGGCACTCTCACTCGTTCAGAGCCCTCTGCTGCGCACTGCACCCTACACATCCACTTTCCTGATTACACGGTAGTTCCCCAGTGTAAGGAGCTGGTAGATTCAGGCACAGCTGGGAACTTTATGGATAGGGCATTTGCACATAGTCTAGGCATTACATTGGTTCCCCTATCCATTCCAATCCCCATCAGAGCACTTGACATTCGACCATTAGGGTCCGGATTCGTTAGGGAATTTACAGCACCAGTCACTATGGTTACGCACAAGAACCACAGAGAGCAAGTCACCTTTTTTTATTATTGAGTTTCCTGATTTACCTGTTGTGTTAGGTCTTCCCTGGTTAGCACTACACAACCCCACCTTTTCATGGCTGCAGAAGGTTCTCACGAGGTGGTCGCGAGAGTGTCAGGGTAGGTGTCTAGGTGTTTCCGTTGGTGCAACCACGGTGGAAAGTCCAGACACTACCTTCACCGAGCGCATTCCCCCTGAATACCTCAATTTGGTGCATGTGTTTTCCAAAACGCAGGAGACCAAATTACCACCTCATCGGGCGGGGGATTGCGCGATAAACCTCCGGGTAGACACTTTGCCTCCCAGGAGTCATGTGTATCCCCTGTCACAGGCTGAAATGGAGGCATACGTCTCCGAGTCCCTGCGCCAGGGGTTCATATGTCCCTCCACTTCACCTGCCTCCTCAAGTTTATTTTTTGTGAAGAAGAAAGACGGAGGTCTGCGCCCTCGCATTGATTACCGAGCACTGAACAAGGGGACAATACTTTATAGTTATCCTTTACCCCTCATTCCATCTGTGATCGAGTCAATGCATGGGGCACGTTTCTTCATAAAATTAAATCTCCGGAGTGCGTACAACCTGGTGCGTGTCCAAGAGGGGGATGAGTGGAAGACAGCATTCAGCACAACCACAGGGCATTCCGAATACCTGTTGATGCCATACGGTTTGATGAATGCTCCATCCGTCTTCCAGTCCTTTGTGAATGAGGTGTTTCGGGACATGCTTGGTCGCGATGTAGTGGTCTGCATCGATGACATTCTGGTGTATTCCGCTACGCGTGCTGAGCATGTGTCCCTGGTTCGCGAGGTGCTGACCCGACGTGCTGACCCGACTGTTGGAACATGACCTTTATGTTAAGGCAGAAAAGTGTCTGTTTTTGCAGCAGTTTGTCTCCTTCCTCGGACACCCGAGCCCCGGCGTACTCTGTCCGTTCCATCCTGGATTTGAGGCGTCGGGTGGGGGACCTTCAGTACCTCGTGGAGTGAGGGGTACGGTCCGGAGGAGCGGTGCTGGGTTCCGGTGAGGGATATCCTCGATCCCTCCCTTTTGTGGGAATTCCACCGTCGCCATCCGGCTCGCCCTGCTCCGCGTCCTCCTGGCCGTCCCGAGGCCGGTGTCGGCGCGCTGCTGGAGCTGCGCATCAAGGAGGGGGTACTGTCACGACTTCCTCCGAATCTGCCGCCTCTCCTTGTTCAGGCAGGCTTCGGCGTTCGTCGTCACCGGCCTTCAAGCCTATGCCGCTCCTCATCTCATCATTCCATTTGTTTTATCTTGTCAATTACACACACCTGGTTCATATGGTTCCTCTCATCAGTACCTGTATAAGTGTTCCCTCTGCCCCCTTATCTTTGTGTGTGATTGTTTATTGTGGAGGATTGTGAAGCTCGGTGGAGGTCTGTGTATTTTGCATCGCTGGGATATTTCCCTGTATGCCTTGTATTTTCCAGTGCGCCTGGAAACACTGGAGTGTTTTGAGGCATTACTGCGTAACTCTGTATTTGCAGAATAAAGCCTGTTATTCTGTGATTTACCCTCCTGCGCCTGACTCCTTCGACATCACCTCATCACAATAATAAATCTGGAAAAAGTCAAGGGGTCTGAATACTTTCCGAATGCACTGTATAAATCACGGTGTCAAGCCATATGAACTAACATGTTGTAGAGCAATTACAAACACATAGGTTGTAATATGGCATTTTTTCCCCTGGCTTGGCTTCCCCAGTGTTTTTACCCACGCACCACTACTGCAAGGCATTAAAGAAATACTGCAAAAATTGTGGCAAAGCAATTCACTTTTTTTTAACGAAAACAAATACTTAAGTTTGGGGCAAATTCAGCAGAACACATCACTGAGTACCACACTCCATATTTTCAAGCATAGTGGTGGCTGCATCATGTTATGGGTATGCTTGTAATCCTTAAGGACTGGGGAGTTTTTCAGGATGTTGCTGCTTACCAAGAAGACAGTGAATGTTCCTGAGTGGCCGAGTTACAGTTTTGACTTAAATCTAGTTAAAAATCTATGACAAGACCTGCAAATGGTTGTCTAGTAACGATCAACAACCAATTTAACAGAACTTTGAAGAATTTTGAAAATAATAACGGGCAACTGTTGCACAATCCAGGTGTGGAAAGCTCATCGAGACTTACCCAGAAAGACTCACAGCTGTAATCGCTGCCAAAGATGCTTCTACAAAGTATTGACTCAGGGGTGTGAATACTAATGAAAGTGAGACATTTCTTTATTTCATTGTCAATACATTTGCTAACTTTGTCATTATGGGGTATTGTGTGTAGATGGGTGAGGATATTTTTTTTTTTAAGGAAGTCAATTTTGAATAAAGGCTGTAACACAACAGAATGCGGAATAAGAGTGGCGCAGTGGTCTAAGGCACTGCATCGCAGTGCTAGCTGTGCCACTAGAGATCCTGGTTCGAATCCAGGCTCTGACATAGCCGGCCGCGACCGGGAGACCCATGGGGCGGCGCACAATTGGCCCAGCGTCGTCCAGGGTAGGGGAGGGAATGGCCGGCAGGGATGTAGCTCAGTTGGTAGAGCATGGCGTTTGCAATGCCAGGGTTGTGGGTTCGATTCCCGCGGGGGGCCAGTATGAAAAATAAAAAAATTATGCATGCACTCACTAACTGTAAGTCGCTCTGGATAAGAGCGTCTGCTAAATGACTAAAATGTAAATAAGTCAAGGGGTATGAATACTTTCTGAAGGCGCTGTAACTTTCCAAGCACTGCTACCATTGGATACCGTTTGTTATTGCTACCTGTTACATCTACTGTTATGTCATGTTGCGTTACCTGTAAGATGTCTCCTGTGAGGTTCTTCAGGCCTTTGGGCTGCAGGATGGTCAGGTGGAGGAAGGTACATCCTTTCCTGTCCTTTATGTTCACGTTGGCACCTGAAGACACACAGACACACAGACAGACAGACAGACAGACAGACAGACAGACAGACAGACAGACAGACAGACAGACACACGCACACGCACACGCACACGCACACGCACACGGACACACACACACACACTCCACAACCTGAGTTCGTTCCAGAGATATGTTGCATTTGAATACGTTGATTGATTTAGTGTAACCGCTGACCTTTTGACAACAGAAGAGCCACAGTTCTCCATGCGCCACAGCTGGTAGCCAGCAACAGGGGAGAAAGACCCTTACAGTCTATGTAGTCGATGTCTGCACCCTGTCAACACAGATACAAGACAAACGGCACTCTATTCCTTATATGGTGCACTCATTTTTTTGGTAGGGAATAGGGTGCCATTTGGTCACACGGTATATCAGGATTCGGTAGCACATTATGTGAGACAGTTTATAGGGTATATTACTGTAGTGTGTTTACCCTTTGAAATGAGGTACTCCGCCAACTCTGATGTGTGTGTGTTTGTTTGTGTGTGTGTGTGTGTGCGTTTGTGCGTTCGTGTGTACTGTATTTACCTTTGAAATGAGGTACACCGCCAACTCTGATGTGTGTGTGTTTGTTTGTGTGTGTGTGTGTGTGCGTTCGTGCGTTCGTGTGTACTGTATTTACCTTTGAAATGAGGTACACCGCCAACTCTGATGTGTGTGTGTGTTTGTTTGTGTGTGTGTGCGTTCGTGTGTACTGTATTTACCTTTGAAATGAGGTACTCCGCCAACTCTGTGTGATCAAATATGGTTGCCCTGGAAAAAGAGAATAAACCACAGCTACAGCGCCTTCAGAAAGTATTCTCACCCCTTGACTTTTCCACATTTTGTTGTGTTGCCTACCTGCATTTTAAAAGGATTCAAATTATATATCTTTTTTTTCACTGGCCTACACACAATACCCCATAATGTCAAAGTGGAATTATGTTTGCTTTATTTTTTTTAAACAAATTAATATAAAATGAAAAGCTGAAATTAGTTGAGTCAATAAGTATTCAACCGCTTTGTTATGGCAAGCCTAAATACGTTCAGTAGTTAAAATGGGCTTAACAAGTCACATAATAAGTTGCATGGACTCACTCTCAACTGTGGGACCTTATATAGACAGGTGTGTGCCTTTCCAAATCATGTCCAATCAATTGAATTTACCACAGGTGGACTCCAATCAAGTTGTAGAAACATCTCAAGGATGATCAATGGAAACAGGATGCACCTGAGCTCAATTTTGAGTCTAGGTAGTTCAGTTTTTTATTTTTAATACATTTGCAAAAAAAAATCTAAAAACCTGTTTTCACTTTTTCATTATGGGGTATTATGTGTAGATTGATGAGGCCATTTATTTTATTTAGTTAATTTTAGAGTAAGGCTGTAACATAAACAAAATGTGGAAAAACTGAAGGGGTCTGAATACTTTCTGAATGCACTGTATATCTCCATTTGTATTGCATTCCAAATGGCACCCTATTCCCGACATAGTGCGCTACATTGGAACAGAGCCCATATCATCCAAAACGGCAGCCTATAGAGCCCTATGGGCATTGGTCAAAAGTAGTGCACAATATAGCGAATGAAGCGGCTTCATCCTCTCAACTCCTTTCCTTGATCTGTAGTGATCTGTAGAACTAGACAGGTGACTGCCCAGGACACTAGCCTGGTAGAATTCCTTTCCTTGATCTGTAGTGATCTGTAGAACTAGACAGGTGACCTGTGCTCATATCATTTGTAGACTTCCATTTGACTAATTGTATTTATATTGTACGGACTACACTACAGAATTATCTGTTCATTAGATTGTTTCATTTGGATATGAAGTGAAGTCAGGATGCACCGATGAACGTCATGAAATAGGATAATGAGGTTTTGATTTTCCATCGACATCAGACAGCATTTGCTATGCATTCATAGCTGTTAGGCGTAGAATACAGTTTCAATAGCTAAATATAAAAATAAAAAAAAGCTGTTCCTTTTCCATTGTGTCAGGACTTAATCTCTACTGCTTCCTGTGCCAACACAAACCAGTCATGCCATGCTTTCCTAACCAAGCAGTAGAGCTTTTTTATATACGTACGGCATCGTTCCATTTTTATGAGGGTATAGTTATGATGTAGGTATTAGAAGGTGCAGCTAAGCCCTTAAACTCTTTACACAACACACACAGCTGTTGGATAGTTACCGTGGTTACTGGTCATAGAGACAAAGGGACTGGAAACACTACCAGGTCCTGCATCCTAAATGGTACCCTATAGGCTCTGGTCAAAAGTAGTGCACTATACAGGGAATAGGGTGCAATTTGGGACGCAGCCAAAGGTATAAGTCGTGAGGCCCTGTCTCTATCTATCTTTCTCTACAAATATTATTCAAGCTATTCACCACCCTTACGCTATGATTAATGGTTCCTTTTCAAACACAAGCTTTGTCACCAAGCAACCGTTACCCCCCCCCCGACTCCTGAACCACACCATAGAATAGAATGATGACATCGTATTAGGATGGATCAGTTCATGACTTTAATAAATGTAGCAACAAAATAACATTCAAAGGAATGAATGGATAAACAAAAGATTGAATGAATGGATGACTGAATTAATTAATTAATTAATTCATTAATGAATGGTTGAATGAATGAACAAATTAACGAACTAACGAACAAAGGAATTAATTTATGAAATAACAAATGAGTGAGTGAACAAACTCTCCCACCTGTGTAAAGGTGTCTGGCAGGCTCCATCGGGCAGGTTAATGATGCGGTCCATTCTGCTGTAGGAGGACAGCATCTGTTTAACAGCCTCTGTAGCTCCCTGGGAACAGGCAAAGTGCAGCGCTGTGGACCGGTCCACCTGGAGTACAGTACAATACACACAGTGAGAACACACACTCTCACACAAACACGCACGCACACACACACACACTCACACACAAACACGCATTCACACACACACTCACACACACACACACACGCACACACACACTCACACACACACGTACAAACACACACACACACACACACTCACACACGAACAAAAACACACACACACACACACACATACACACACACAGTGACCAGGGCTCTGGTCAAAAGTAGTGCACTATATAGGGAATAGGGTGCCATTCTCTGGTCTAAAGTAGTGCACTATATAGGGAATAGGGTGCCATTCTCTGGTCTAAAGTAGTGCACTATATAGGGAATAGGGTGCCATTTGGGACACACCCCTGGTGAGAGGGGGTAACGCAAGCCTGTCGCCCTTTCCTGCAGTCAAATGACCTAGTGGCCTCATGGGTGGAATGTTATTCATATTTTTCCATAATTAATAAAACATTTTTTTTTTCAAACTCTGAAAATCCTGTATTTCTATGTCAAACAATTGTGTTATATTTCAGTCTTCTGTGATGTATATAAAGTGTAATATTGGGATGCAATCTCAAAATGTAATACATTTCAACTCTGTATCTGACATGGTACAGATGTCTTCTTTTTTATAAGCCCATAACCCTTAACCAAAGTAGATTTGTTTAAGACTATTATTAAACACTTTGTGTGACCCTGATTTAGCCCACTGCAGTAAAAGGTTAAGGGGTTATGAGCATGAATGGCAGGAACAGAGCAGAGATCTCCCCACTCCACTCAGCTCCACACCACATATCATTCAGTACAGGAAGTGGAGGTCATTACAGGAAGTGGAGGTCATTACAGGAAGTGGAGGTCAATACAGGAAGTGGAGGTCAATACAGGAAGTGGAGGTCAATACAGGAAGTGGAGGTCAGTATAGGAAGTGGAGGTCAATACAGGAAGTGGAGGTCAATACAGGAAGTGGAGGTCAATACAGGAAGTGGAGGTCAGTACAGTAAGTGGTCATTACAGGAAGTGGAGGTCAATACAGGAAGTGGAGGTCATTACAGTAAGTGGTCATTACAGGAAGTGGAGGTCAATACAGGAAGTGGAGGTCATTACAGTAAGTGGTCATTACAGTACAGTAAATGGAGGTCAGTACGGTAAGTTGATGTCATTACAGTAAGTCGGGGTCATTACAGTAAGTAGAGGTCATTACAGTAAGTAGTCCCGTGTAGCTCAGTTGGTAGAGCATGGCGTTTGCAACGCCAGGGTTGTGGCTTCGATTCCCACGGGGGGCCAGTATGAAAAAATAAAATAATGTATGCACTCACTAACTGTAAGTCGCTCTGGATAAGAGTGTCTGCTAAATTACTAAAATGTAAAGTACAGGAAGTGGAGGTCAATACAGTAAGTGCCATTTGGGGAGCAATCTTACAGATGGTGGGATCACTCCCAGACTCTACTACACCAGTGGAGTGGGTGTACAGATTATAAATGATTATTTGCCTGGAAGATCCTGAAGAGATCTTTACTTAAGCGTGTGGTATTCCAGTGCAGTCCAATGAGCCCCTACCTGGAGTACAGTACAATACACACAGTGAGAACACACACTCTCACACAAACACGCACGCACACACACACTCACACACGAACAAAAACACACACACACATACACACACACAGTGACCAGGGCTCTGGTCAAAAGTAGTGCACTATATAGGGAATAGAGTGCCATTCTCTGGTCTAAAGTAGTGCACTATATAGGGAATAGGGTGTTATTTGGGACACACCCCTGGTGAGAGGGGGTAACGCAAGCCTGTCGCCCTTTCCTGCAGTCAAATTACCTAGTGGCCTCATGGGTGGAATGTTATTCATATTTTTCCATAATTAATAAAACATTTTTTTTTTCAAACTCTTAAAAACCTGTATTTCTATGTCAAACAATGTTGTTATATTTCAGTCTTCTGTGATGTATATAAAGTGTAATATTGGGATGCAATCTCAAAATGTAATACATTTCAACTCTATATCTGACATGGTACAGGTGTCTTCTTTTTTATAAGCCCATAACCCTTAACCAAAGTAGATTTGTTTAAGACTATTATTAAACACTTCGTGTGACCCTGATTTAGCCCACTGCAGTAAACGGTTAAGGGGTTATAAGCATGAATGGCAGGAACAGAGCAGAGATCTCCCCACTCCACTCTGCTCCAAACCACATACCATTCAGTACAGGAAGTGGAGGTCATTACAGGAAGTGGAGGTCATTACAGGAAGTGGAGGTCAGTACAGTAAGTGGAGGTCAATACAGGAAGTGGAGGTCATTACAGGAAGTGGAGGTCAGTACAGTAAGTGGAGGTCATTACAGGAAGTGGAGGTCAGTACAGTAAGTGGTCATTACAGGAAGTGGAGGTCAATACAGGAAGTGGAGGTCATTACAGTAAGTGGTCATTACAGGAAGTGGAGGTCAATACAGGAAGTGGAGGTCATTACAGTAAGTGGTCATTACAGTACAGTAAATGGAGGTCAGTACGGTAAGTTGATGTCATTACAGTAAGTCGGGGTCATTACAGTAAGTAGAGGTCATTACAGTAAGTAGTCCCGTGTAGCTCAGTTGGTAGAGCATGGCGTTTGCAACGCCAGGGTTGTGGCTTCGATTCCCACGGGGGGCCAGTATGAAAAAATAAAATAATGTATGCACTCACTAACTGTAAGTCGCTCTGGATAAGAGTGTCTGCTAAATTACTAAAATGTAAAGTACAGGAAGTGGAGGTCAATACAGTAAGTGCCATTTGGGGAGCAATCTTACAGATGATGGGATCACTCCCAGACTCTACTACACCAGTGGAGTGGGTGTACAGATTATAAATGATTATTTGCCTGGAAGATCCTGAAGAGATCTTTACTTAAGCGTGTGGTATTCCAGTAGAGTCCAATGAGCCCCTAATTTAAATGTATGAAAAAAGTAATTTCCTAGATTGGAGATACACAAAGTGAAACCTGATGTGATTGGCCGTGTGGTAGCTGGACATTGGAAAACGTTATAATAATTTACTGTGTTTAGATTTACTTACATCAGGCTACAGTATATTTATTCAAATAATAGTGGCTAAAACCATAGAATTACATACAGAAGAAATAGTGATTTGTAGGATTTCTGTTTCTGAACCAACCATATGATCCCTTCTGTTACCTGTTGCTGAACCAACCATATGATCCCTTCTGTTACCTGTTGCTGAACCAACCATATGATCCCTTCTGTTACCTGTTGCTGGTCAATCTTAGCTCCGTTCTGGATGCAGAACTTAATGACGTCCATGTTTCCTCCCCTGACCGCCATGTGGAGAGGACTGCTGCTCGACTTATCAAGGACGTTAATGTGTTCCTCTATGGAATGACCCATCTCCTCTCCTGGACAACACACAAACACAGGAGCATTCATCAGTGTGTGCCGGAATACATTATTTTATTTTATTTCGTAACCCAGCACCTGAAAGTCAGTGGATGTGTGTACACTGCATTTTAAACTAAACTCACACACAGAGGGTGCATCTCAATCTTAGGCGCTGTTGCGGCGACCGTATTATCGCCACACACCGGCAGTCATGAGTCATGATTGGAGTCTCCTGAGTGGCGCAGTGGTCTAAGGCACTGCATCGCAGTGCTAACTGTGCCACTAGAGATCCTGGTTCGAATCCAGGCTCTGTCGCAGCCGGCCGCGACCGGGAGACTCATGGGCGGCGCACAATTGGCCCAGCGTCGTCCAGGGTAGGGGAGGGAATGGCCGGCAGGGATGTAGCTCAGTTGATAGAGCATGGCGTTTGCAACGCCAGGGTTGTGGGTTCGATTCCCATGGGGGGCCAGTATAAAAAAATATATATATATATATGTATTCACTAACTGTAAGTCGCTCTGGATAAGAGCGTCTGCTAAATGACTAAAATGTAAATGAGTCAAATAACACTCTGGGAATCTCTGGGAATGCCTTGGTAGATCTCAACTCGCTAACGACCATCTGGTCGCTAATGGCCTGGTACTCTGGGCTCTGTTGTCCCTCTAACCATCGGGCATTTAGCAGATGCTTTTATCCAAAGCGACTTACAGTCATGTGTGCATACATTTTTGTGTATGGGTGGTCCCGGGGATCGAACCCACTACCCTGGCGTTACAAGCGCCGTGCTCTACCAGCTGAGCTATATAGAGGCCATGCCATCATGGAACGCTCTTCCACCGGAGGTTACTCAGGCAAAATGCAAGTTTAGCTTAAAAAAAAAAAGATAAAAAATAAACATCTTGTATCACAGCGCCTCTTACCTTTCTAAAGATCGAATTTAACTGTTACTGTACATAGGAATGTGAATATGTATAATATGAATAGTGTGTAAAGAGTATTGTTGTTGTCTCTTTGCTACGTACAACTCTTATTTATTATTATTATTATTATATTATCTTATTTTAATGTTTTATTTGTATTTAGTGTAATATCTTATGTTATCTATAACTGTTCTGTACTTTCATGTATTTGTACTGTTTTTTTTATGTGGACCCCAGGAAGAGTAGCTGCTGCATGTGCAGTAGCTATTGGGGAATCCTAATACACTCAAGTAAACTAGGTGAAAGGGGAGGTGACAAGGAGAGGAGAGCCACTTTAGACTCTTGAAGCCAGAAACTGCATGGAAAGCTGTTCTGGATGAATAACTGCGAGGAACCGGTAAATTATAATACATTATTTATATGAACAGCATTGCATGAAATGGAACTGTTAAATTATATGCTCAGGGCAGGGACAGACAGTCCATCTCAGTATTGAGTGCAGTTCACAATGCATGTAGACCTACAGTGGGGAGAACAAGTATTTGATACACTGCCAATTTTTCAGGGTTTCCTACTTACAAAGCATGTAGAGGTCTGTAATTTTTATCATAGGTACACTTCAACTGTGAGAGACGGAATCTAAAACAAAAATCCAGAAAATCACATTGTATGATTTTTAAGTGATTAATTTGCATTTTATTGCATGACATAGGTATTTGATCACCTACCAACCAGTAAGAATTCCGTCTCTCACAGACCTGTTAGTTTTTCTTTAAGAAGCCCTCCTGTTCTCCACTCATTACCTGTATTAACTGCACCTGTTTGAACTCGTTACCTGTATAAAAGACACCTGTCCACACACTCAATCAAACAGACTCCAACCTCTCCACAATGGCCAAGACCAGAGAGCTGTGTAAGGACATCAGGGATAAAATTGTAGACCTACACAAGGCTGGGATGGGCTACAGGACAATAGGCAAGCAGCTTGGTGAGAAGGCAACAACTGTTGGCGCAATTATTAGAAAATGGAAGAAGTTCAAGATGACGGTCAATCACACTCGGTCTGGGGCTCCATGCAAGATCTCATCTTGTGGGCCATCAATGATCATGAGTAAGGTGAGGGATCAGCCCAGAACTACACGGCAGGACCTGGTCAATGACCTGAAGAGAGCTGGGACCACAGTCTCAAAGAAAACCATTAGTAACACACTACGTCATCATGGATTAAAATCCTGCAGCGCACGCAAGGTCCCCCTGCTCAAGCCAGCGCATGTCCAGGCCCGTCTGAAGTTTGCCAATGACCATCTGGATGATCCAGAGGAGGAATGGGAGAAGGTCATGTGGTCTGATGAGACAAAAATAGAGCTTTTTGGTCTAAACTCCACTCGCCGTGTTTGAAGGAAGAAGAAGGATGAGTACAACCCCAAGAACACCATCCCAACCGTGAAGCATGAAGGTGGAAACATTTCCTTGGGGATGCTTTTCTGCAATGGGGACAGGACGACTGCGCCATATTGAGGGGAGGATGGATGGGGCCATGTATTTACATTTTACATTTTAGTCATTTAGCAGACGCTCTTATCCAGAGCGACTTACAGTTAGTGAATACATATTTTTTTTATACTGGCCCCCCGTGGGAAACGAACCCACAACCACCCTGGCGTTGCAAACGCCATGCTCTATCAACTGAGCTACATCCCTGCCGGCCATTCCCTCCCCTACCCTGGACGACGCTGGGCCAATTGTGCGCCGCCCATGAGTCTCCCGGTCGCGGCCGGCGGCGACAGAGCCTGGATTCGAACCAGGATCTCTAGTGGCACAGTTAGCACTGCGATGCAGTGCCTTAGACCACTGCGCCACTCAGGAACCACCATGTATCGCGAGATGTTGGCCAACAACCTCCTTCCGTCAGTAAGAGCATTGAAGATGGGTCGTGGCTGGTCTTCCAGCATGACAACGACCTGAAACACACAGCCAGGGCAACTAAGGAGTGGCTCCGTAAGAAGCATCTCAAGGTCCTGGAGTGGCCTAGCCAGTCTCCAGACCTGAACCCAATAGAAAATCTTTGGAGGGAGCTGAAAGTCCGTATTGCCCAGCGACAGCCCCGAAACCTGAAGGATCTGGAGAAGGTCTGTATGGAGGAGTGGGCCAAAATCCCTGCTGCAGTGTGGGTTATGGATAATAAGCTTCTAACTTATAGCCTCTGTATCTTGTGCATTACGCAAACACGTGTGGCCTCTGCGCTGGCCTCTGCGCTGGCCTCTGCGCTGGCCTCCCAGCTAGCCTCCCAGCTGGCCTCTACCATGCAGAAAAAACTAGAATAGAATAGCTTGCTGGACATAATTGTTTTTGTGTTTCTTATATCAATAGACTACTCGAAGAGGGACGCAAACTCATTTTAAATACAGCAGCCAATAGAACTCAGGGGTAGTTTGAAAGAAGAGGGAACGCGCGATGGCGGTAGGTAGGCCATAGCAGTTATTTATTCAGACCCATAACCATTCAATCTTTGTGAAGAGGAGTGAAAGCCTTCTGCATCAAATTCTAGTGCAATATCATTCAAGGATGTCATTAGAATAATTAAGATTAGGACAACGAAACGTATTTCATTTAACTGTTTACTGTGAGGAAAGAATGAAGCAACAATAGAGAGAGAGGAGGTAGGCTAATAACATTAGGGGAAATATTATGAAATGTATTTATGTGTCAGCCTACTAATTATACAAATAGGCCCTATTATATTTCAAAATTAAAATCTAATTCGCTAACCTATACTGGTAACTTTGTAGGCCGCATGTGCTGCACCAGAATCACATGTTCTCTTCTGCTTTATCATGGTTTGAACGAGGTGCGTAATTCCAGTCCATATAATACAGTATAATACAATACAGTACAGTAATACAGTTCACACTCCAAAAGATTAGCCTACTGGAGCTAGTTTCATTTATTTACCCAAGAGAGCATATAGCTAGCTACATCTATGGGCTCTTATATAGCTAGCTACATCTATGGGCTCTTATATAGCTAGCTACATCTATGGGCTTTATATAGCTAGCTACATCTATGGGCTCTCATATAGCTAGCTACATCTATGGGCTTTATATAGCTAGCTACATCTATGAGCTTTATATAGCTAGCTACATCTATGGGCTTTATATAGCTAGCTACATCTATGAGCTTTATATAGCTAGCTACATCTATGGCCTTTATATAGCTAACTACATCTATGGGCTTTTATATAGCTAGCTACATCTATGGGCTTTTATATAGCTAGCTACATCTATGGGCTTTTATATAGCTAGCTACATCTATGGGCTTTTATATAGCTAGCTACATCTATGGGCTTTTATATAGCTAGCTACATCTATGGGCTTTTATATAGCTAGCTACATCTAAGGGCTCTTATATAGCTAGCTACATCTATGGGCTTTATATAGCTAGCTACATCTATGGGCTTTATATAGCTAGCTACATCTAAGGGCTCTTATATATCTAGCTACATCTAAGGGCTCTTATATAGCTAGCTACATCTAAGGGCTCTCATATAGCTAGCTACATCTAAGGGCTCTTATATAGCTAGCTACATCTATGGGCTCTTAAAATGTATTTAATATATGGCTCATCAGGTTCAGGTAGCATCAGGTTTGAATTTGCATGCTAATTAAAGCTCTAATCAAATCCAGACATTTATAATTTTTAATGCTTTTGAATGACACTTCCGGTTTTGGCGGGAAATACAGGGGTTACCCGGTATGGGACCCTTGTAAAATACTGGAAAAATATTCCTAAGTGTCTTCCTGTCCTGTCCTTGGATCCTTCTCTTGCGTCAGTGCAGATGCCGGAGTGGAGAGGAGGACGCCATTTTAGACTGTTGAGGTCAGACACTGCTGTTCTGTTTATAGGAGATACACCGAGTTGAATTTCTAAGTTTTTAGGGTATATCCTGTTCAAGTTAACAACTCTGAACTGTGTTGTTTTTTTTCTTTCAGTGCAATGGAAACTAGGATGACAAGTGGACGAACATCTGAGTCTTCCAACTCAACTCATTTCCCCTTAGTCATGCCATCTGTGGAGATCTGGCTAGGCCTTGCCTAAATAATGTGAATGTCAGAATCTGACAACGACAGAACCTTCACAAATATTTAGCTGTTGGACTAAACACATCCAGTGTCCTGTTATGATGATGATTCAGCCGCAGACTCCCAGGTTGGGTAAACAGTGAGTCCGTGATGTGGTCTCTGGTTTTTGTGTGGCTCCTCGGATGAGCATTCTGACACAAAATGGCCGCAGTGTATCAGTCAGTGCAAGGAGGGACAACTTTGGATGGGGGTGTGGGCCACGAAAAAGTTCTGGGGCTGTTTTTCATGGTTCAGGCTAGGCCCTTTAGTTCCAGTGAAGGGAAATCTTAACGCTACAGCATACAATGACATTCTACACGATTCTGTGCTTCCAACTTTGTGGCAACAGTTTGGGGGAAGGCCCTTTCCTGTTTCAGCATGACAATCCCCCCGTTCACAAAGCAAGGTCCACACAGAAATGGTTTGTCGAGATTGGTGTGGAAGAACTTGACTGGCCTGCACAGAGCCTTGACCTTAACCCTACCGAACACCTTTGGGATGATTTGGAACGCCGACCAAATTGCCCAATAATAATACTTTATTTTTTTTGTTTCACCATAATAAAACTAGCCACATAGCAATTTTATGAAGTTGTCCTTAGCTAGCCCAGATAGGTTCCCAATCTCCCAACCTCATCACTAGCTACCAAGAAGCCATTTCATACTATCAATCAAGTTAGAGTAGTTAGCTTGTCTATCTATCTTAGTTGGCATGTCTGATGGCAAGTTTGGTAGACTTTAGAAAAGCAAGCAATTACTAAATGTACTGAATAAGACTCACATTCCTTTTTAATATTTTACCCAGATTGTAGCAGAGCTGCAGAGAAGCATATTTAGTTTCTATAAAAAAAAAAAGAACAACCAGTCAGGAGCAAGGAGGCCACGGCGCCCCTGAAATCTGATTGGCCATCCGGGTGGCCCCACCAGAAATGTTGAGATCTGATAGGTTGTCTCTGAATATGTTTATAATTTTGACCAAGACGCGCACCGACAGCGAGACTCATCCATTTCACCGAAACAGCGCCCCTCTGTCTTAGTATGTGTAGCCCATGTTTCTGATGCTGTCTGGCCAAAAATAGAATGACATGTCATATTCTTTTTGGCCAGACAGCATCAGATACATTTGCTACAGATAGTTAGACAGAGGGGGCGCTGTTTGCCTCGCTCGGATGCTTTCTCTGGCGAAATAGATTCAGCCTCTTGCGAGTTGAAGGAAAATTATGAAACACAGATAGACACGAATGAGAAATCATTTTATACCAGGGGTTGGAACCAAAATTATTTTCCAATTGCTACCATAATTTTTTTTCATTCCGTTCCACTTTTCCGACCTGCAAAATGAAGTTCTGACCAGGTCCGAACCCCAAAATAGTTCCGCTTTATATTGTTACTTACTGTGCCTTTTTAAACCTCTGAAACATTTTTTTTTTTTTATGTTTAGCTCAACATTAAATGACTTCATTAATCATGCAGTGTGAATAGAGCAGCTCAGTGTGTTGTTTATATGCGTGATGAAAAGACAAGTGTCGGGCACGAGATGCTGAACATTTTGCAGTTGGAGAGAGATCGCGAGAGGGTGGAGAAGGAGGCTTGGCTTGAAACACTAGGCATCTTGTGATGACATGCATCATCTGAATTAAGGTCCACAGAATTATACCTACGGAGGAGCGGCTTCTATGGAGAAACTTTCAATGTTTTTGAACTTCAGAGTTGGCCTACCGTTGGACCAGAGAAGTTAGCTAGCTAACAAGCTTGTGTGTGCAGAGCTGCACAAATTAAAAAACAGCTATGCTTCTGAGGGGGAGGGGCTACAGCTATGCTTCTGAGGGGGAGGGGCTACAGCTTTGCTTCGGAGGGGGAGGGGCAGGTAACCTACACGCACGCACACTGATAAAGATTTTCAGCCAACAGGCAGACGCTGGAAGAAGTTTCTGATTGACAGAGGAAGGGCTTAGCATTGGCGCTTTGTTGTGTTTTTGTGGGACTGGAAATAAATGTCCCGGAAGGTAAAATACCGTTATTAACCCATGCTTTTAAAATAACGGTTCTGTTCCGGAACAATATAGATCACTTTCGTTCCGGGTTCTGATTTTGTTCCTTGAAAAATGTCATTATTTTACGGTTTTCCGTTCTGTTCCCAAAACCGGTTCCAACCCCAGTTTTATACGTTTGTTTCCTTTTTTATTGTAAAATTTTTGGGGGAAGCCTAGCTTCCGTTGGCGTCCATAAATACACACCACTTTGAAGGCTGAATGCCATTACACTGATGGTGTTTGTAATACATGTCCGTTTCTATTCAAATGGCGGATGCACGGTGCACTTTTCGGATGCTGGACTTTTGGAGTAGAACAATTTTGTGCAGGTAAGCTATTTAGCCTACTTTTTGAAGTGATTTGTTTGACAATCAGATGAAAAAACATCATGACTTGTGTTCATGACATTAAAATGTACTACATTTTACAGTTAAATGTCATGTCTTTACTATAAAGCCCATAACAAATAACCTTATATTAATTCCTGACCTTGAACGCAAACAAGACTTTTGGTATTGATTTATGATTTATTAAAACATGGAAATACACCATACATAAGCTGAAGCATCATAATTATATTGAAAAAATCCGCCTTGCATCGATTCCAAATGTTATGGCCCCCCTACACTGGGTCAGTACCCCAAAATACTGTAAATAGATGTTCTATTGTGTTATTGACTGTATGTTTTTATTTATTCCATATGTAACTCTGTGTTGTTGTTTTTATCGCACTGCTTTGCTTTATCTTGGCCAGGTCGCAGTTGTAAATGAAAACTTGTTCTCAACTGGCCTACCTGGTTAAATAAAGGTTAAATAAAACAAATAAATTAAAATGTTCTGGACATGCCACTGGTCAGGAGGACACAGACAGCTCAAGAGGTATGCTTAGAAATGCTGAAAAATACACGTTTTTATATGGTCTAGTTTGCAGGAAAAAAGCTATTTCAGTTTATTGAGAAATTCTAAATTCTCCAAATTCCGAACGGGACCACCCCCAGCTATCCTCATGTACTTTGTGCCCCCTCAGACTTTTGGGGTAGTATGGCGCCCCTGGATACACAATCAGATGGTAACTATACAATAGTAATGGGGGAGGGGACACATAGTAGTAGACCTAATGAAAAACGCTTTATAGATACCATACTTTATGATTATTCTTACAGTAGACCCATAGAAAAGTAGAAAACTCATCATAAAGACTTACCAGCTTTGAGGATGACCTCCATGGCTTTCTTTGCACCTGCGAAGGCAGCTGCGTGGATGGCAAAGTGGCCTAGCTTGTTCTGACTACAGAGCCTCGCCCCGTGCTTCAGCTACACGACAGGGAAGCGGTACAGAGATGCGTTAGGGAAGATAGCATTGATAGTCTTGTCATACAGTTGTCAATCGTAGAACTGTCTCTTTCTCGAGAAAAGCTATTGACTTTTATTATCTGCTGGTAAAAAAAAATAAAAAATAAAGATTGGTTATTAGGAAAAATATCACGTCTATAAACAAAGCGGGCCATACTTGCTAACATTACAAAAAGTTTAACGGTCCAATGCAGCCATTTTTATCTCATTATCAAATCATTTCTGGGTAACAATTAAGTGCCTTACTTACAATTAAAATGGTTAAAAAAAATAAAAAAATAACAGGTTCTTAGCAAAAAGCCAGAGTTAGCTAGGACTGTTTGGGAGTGGTCTGAGTGGGGAGGGGAACATGAAAACTAGCTGTTATTGGCAGAGAGGTTTGGAACTCTCTTTCCTATTGGTCTATTAACTAATTTACCACCTGGTGATGTCACCAGGCAGGCAAAAACTCCATCCCACCAACAGCTCTTACACTAAAAAGGGCATTATCATCATTTTCACAATTTCAGAGAATTATTCCAACCTCATAGTATGGAAATATATATATATATATATATATATATATATATATATATATATATATATATATATATATATACATATACATATATATATACTGTATATAACGCAGGAAAATCACATTTTTGACTGCACTGGGCCTTTAAGTTTTAGTTCAAGTTTAAGCATCAGCCAATTAAAATCGTCAGCATAGTTGCACGTGATCAAAGGCTACATGTTAGCTGTTCCCATTACATAACCTGGCACATTTAGCCCTATGCTAACCTCACCAGGTGGCAGTGATTATTTTGACCAAGACGCGCACCGACAGCAAGACTCATCCATCTCACCGAAGAAACCATCAGAGCGAGTGAAACAGCGCCCCTCTGTCTTAGTATGTGTAGCCCATGTATCTGATACTGTCTGGCCAAAAATAGTATGACATGTCATATGTCACACACAAACACGAATAAAGGAATCATTTCCATTAACAAATTCCATATCAGCCTATCAAATTCAAGGTTTACTTCTATTCCCCTTCACTTGGTCAGTCTCAAGTTTAGGGTGCCCATATTGCATGATCATTGCATTCTTGACTAGGCTACTTACTAACGTAATGTATGGACAAATATTATTTTCGCATACACGACAAAGTCCCACGTTTCTGCCTATCCATTTCACACACATTCGTGTGCTTTGACAGCAATAGAGATGTAGGAGGATTATACAACATAGAAGTTACATCGTAAAAAAAAAAAAAAAAGGTGAAATACCTGTAATTTAACTGCAGAAGAGCACACTATGTGAACTGAGTCAATCTAGCACCCACAGAATACATGTTGTGGGTATTTAATTCTGCTACATTGACTCAGATCATACAGTCAGCGGCTGAGTTATACTGTCGGTGGCGTTGAAGGAGGTGAATGAGGTGAGGCTGGAGCAGAGGTGAGGTCACAGGTGAGTTCTAGTAGCCAATGTGATGTGATGTCATCACCCCGAGACTTATAATAATAATAATATTCCATTTAGCGGACGCTTTTATCCAAAGCGACTTACGGTCATGTGTGCATACATTTTTACGTATGGGTGGTCCCGGGGATCGAACCCACTACCCTGGCGTTACAAGCGCCGTGCTCTACCAATTGAGCTACAGACTTGAAGTAGTGTCTCCTCCATGACTATTTACTAAGAGAGTTTTAATCTCATTATTTTTTGTAGCTGTCTATTTACCACCAAAACTGACGCTGGCACTAAGACCAAATTCAACGAGCTGTATAAGGCCATAAGCAAAAAAAGAAAATGCTCATCCAAAGGCGGTGCTCCTAGTGGCTGGTGATTTTAATGCAAGAAATCTGTCTTACCTCATTTCTACCAGCATGTCACTTGTGCAACTAAAAGGTGAAAAAAACTCTAGATCACCTTTACTCCACATGCGTACAAAGCTCTCCCTTCATTTGGCAAATCTGACCATAACTTTATCCTCCTGATTCCTGCTTACAAGCAAAAACTCAAACAGGAAGTACCGGTGAAGTGCTCAATACAGAAGTGGTCTGATGATGCGGAAGCTAAGCAAAACTGCTCCAGCTCCTTCAAGTTGGATGGGTTCCGCTGGTGTACAGCAATCTTTAAGTCATACCCAAGATTCTCATTTGGATTGAGGTCTGGGCTTTGACTAGGCCATTCCGAGATATTTAAATGTTTCCCCTTAAACCACTCGAGTGTGGTTTTAGCAGTATGCTTAAGGTCATTGTCCTGCTGGAAGGTGAACCTCCGTTCCAGTCTCAAATCTCTGGAAGACTGAAACAGGTTTCCCTCAAGAATTTCCCTGTCTTTAGCGCCATCCATCATTCCTTCAATTCTGACCAGTTTCCCAGTCCCTGCCCTTGAAAAATATCCCCACAGCATGATGCTGTCACCACAATGTTTCACTGTGGGGATGGTGTTCTCGGGGTGATGAGAGGTGTTGGGTTTGCGCCAGACATTTTCCTTGATGGCCAAAAAGCTCAATTTTGGACAGATACTCCAATCTCCGCTGTGGAGCTTTGCAGCTCCTTCAGGGTTATCTTTGGTCTCTGTTGCCTCTCTGATTAATGCCCTCCTTGCCTGGTCCATGAGTTTTGGTGGGCTGCCCTCTCTTGGCATGTTTGTTGTGGTGCCATATTCTTTCAATTTTTTAATAATAGATTAAATGGTACTCAATGGGATGTTCAAAGTTTCTGATATTTTTTTATAACCCAACCCTGATCTGTACTTCTCCACAACTTTTTCCCTGAGCTGTTTGGAGAGCTCCTTGGTCTTCATGTTGCCGCTTGCTTGGTGGTGCCCCTTGCTTAGTGGTGTTGCAGACTCTGGGGCCTTTCAGAACATGTGTATACAGTTGAAGTCAGAAGTTTACATACACTTAGGTTGGAGTCATTAAAACTTGTTTTTCAACCACTCCACAAGTTTCTTGTTAACAAACTATAGTTTTGGCAACTTGTGCATGACACAAGTAATTTTTCCAACAATTGTTTACAGACAGATTATTTCACTTATAATTCACTGTATCACAATTCCAGTGGGTCAGAAGTTTATATACACTAAGGTGACTGTGACTTTCAACAGCTTGGAAAATTCCAGAAAATTATGTCATGGCTTTAGAAGCTTCTGATAGGCTAATTGACATCATTTGAGTCAATTGGAGGTGTACCTGTGGATGTATTTCAAGGCCTACCTTCAAACTCAGTGCCTCTTTGCTTGACATCATGGGAAAATCTAAAGAAATCCGCCAAGACCTCAGAAAAATAGATGGCATCATGAGGAAGGAAAATGATGTGGATATATTGAAGCAACATCTCAAAACATCAGTTAAAGCTTGGTCGCAAATGGGTCTTCCAAATGGACAACGACCCCAAGCATACATCCAATGTTGTGGCAAAATGACTTAAGGACAACCAAGTCAAGGTATTGGAGTGGTCATCACAAAGCCCTGACCTCAATCCTATAGAAAATGTGTGGGCAGAACTGAAAAAGTGTGTGCGAGCAAGGAGGCCTACAATCCTGACTCCGTTACACCAGCTCTGTCAGGAGGAATGGGCCAGAATTCACCCAACATATTTTGGGAAGCTTGTGGAAGGCTACCCGAAACGTTTGACCCAAGTTAAACAATTTAAAGGCAATGCTACCAAACACTAATTGAGTGTATGTAAACTTCTGACCCACTGGGAATGTGATGAAATAAATAAAAGCTGAAATAAATCATTCTCTCTACTATTATTCTGACATTTCACCTTCTTAAAATAAAGTGGTGATCCTAACTGACCTAAAACAGGTAATTTTTACTGGGATTAAATGTCAGGAATTGTGAAAAACAGAGTTTAAACGTATTTGGCTAAGGTGTATGTAAACTTCCGACTTCAACTGTATATACTGAGATCATGTGACAGATCATGTGACACTTAGATTGCACACAGGTGGACTTTATTTAACTAATTTTGTGACTTCTGAAGGTAATTGGTTGCACCAGATCTTATTTAGGGCTTCATAGCAAAGGGGATGAATACATATGCACGCACCACTTTTCCGTTATTTATTTTTTAGAATGTTTTGGAAGAAATTATGTTTTTCATTTCACTTCACCAATTTGGACTATTTTGTGTATGTCCATTACATGAAATCCAAATAAAAATCAGTTTAAATTACAGGTTGCAATGCAACAACATAGGAAAAACGCCAAGGAGGATGAATACTTTTGCAAGGCACTGTATCTACCTCAATTACCTCATATCCCTCCCTGCACATTGACTCAGTACTGGTACCCCCTGTATATAGCCAAGTTATCATGGACTCAGTACTGGTACCCCCTGTATATAGCCAAGTTATCATGGACTCAGTACTGGTACCCCCTGTATATAGCCAAGTTATCATGGACTCAGTACTGGTACCCCCTGTATATAGCCAAGTTATCATGGACTCAGTACTGGTACCCCCTGTATATAGCCAAGTTATCATGGACTCAGTACTGGTACCCCCTGTATATAGCCAAGTTATCATGGACTCAGTACTGGTACCCCCTGTATATAGCCAAGTTATCATGGACTCAGTACTGGTACCCCCTGTATTAGCCAAGTTATCATGGACTCAGCACTGGTACCCCCTGTATATAGCCAAGTTATCATGGACTCAGTACTGGTACCCCCTGTATATAGCCAAGTTATCATGGACTCAGTACTAGTACCCCCTGTATATAGCCATGTTATCATGGACTCAGTACTGGTACCCCCTGTATATAGCCATGTTATCATGGACTCAGTACTGGTACCCCCTGTATATAGCCAAGTTATCATGGACTCAGTACTGGTACCCCCTGTATATAGCCAATTTATCATGGACTCAGTACTGGTACCCCCTGTATATAGCCAAGTTATCATGGACTCAGTACTGATACCCCCTGTATATAGCCAAGTTATCATGGACTCAGTACTGGTACCCCCTGTATATAGCCAAGTTATCATGGACTCAGTACTGGTACCCCCTGTATATAGCCAAGTTATCATGGACTCAGTACTGGTACCCCCTGTATATAGCCAAGTTATCATGGACTCAGTACTGTTACCCCCTCTATATAGCCAAGTTATCATGGACTCAGTACTGGTACCCCCTGTATATAGCCAAGTTATCATGGACTCAGTACTGGTACCCCCTGTATATAGCCAAGTTATCATGGACTCAGTACTGGTACCCTCTGTATATAGCCAAGTTATCGTTACTCATTGTGTATTTATTATAACTTGTATTATTATGTGTTTTACTTTTCTATTATTTCTCAATTTTCTTTCTCTCTGCGTTGTTGGGAAGGGCCCGTAAGTAAGCATTTCACTGTTGTTTACGAAGCATGTGACAAATAAAATGTGATTGTATCAATATGTTTATATCGTAAGCATCTCAGCTGTGGGAAGATCTCCTCTTGCAATGTTGTGCCGATTTGCTTCATTCTGCGACACTCACTGTCCTACTTCTTCTTCTGTGGTTAGCATGGCTACAGGTGTCATTTGATTAGGGTTTGCGTCCCGGCCCAGTCAGCCACACAGGGATATTAGGGTTTGCGTCCCGGCCGGCCAGCCATACAGGGATGGAACTCATACATTACAGAGCTACTTTGCAGCCCTGTAAAAGTGACACTGTCACGGTTTCGGCCGAGGCTGCCTCTCTTCCTTGTTCGGGCAGGCTTCGGCGTTCGTTGTCTCCGGAATACTAGCTGCCACCGTTGTATGTTTCATGTTCGTTTGCTTTTGTCTGATTGTTTTCACACCTGTTATCATTTAGTGTCATTAGTGTCCTATTTAGTTCTCGTTGTGTTTGTCAGGTGTTGTGTGTTATTGTTTCGTGTACTGTCGTATTTGCTGGTCGTTTGACTATTTCGCTCGGTTGAGCTTACTACTCCACTGCGCTGGAGCGTATTTACGCACCTGTTTTCGTGCGCCTTTATTTTGGTCGCCTACGTGCGTCGTTCCGCCTTCGGGCGAGTTTTCCTGTTTGCCTTATTGGTAATTTTGACTAAAGTCTTTTGGATTATTGACTTCGGTGTCCTTGCGCTTGATTCCACCCATACACCCACCTACAGCCAACCTTGACAGAATAACACACCTAGTATGGAATCAGCAGGAGCCGCTGCAGCCCAGGCGACGCTGGAGGACAGGGTCCTCCAACAAGGCGACCAGATCCAGCAGATGGGGACCGCACTGCAGGAGGTGATCACTACCATCAGAGGCTGGGGAACGCCGCCACCACCACCCTCCCTGCCAGCACCATCGGCCAGTCAGCCCATTCCCGCACCGGAACCTCGAGGAGTCCGACTCTCGCTCCCGAGGGCTTACGATGGGACCGCGGCCGGGTGCCAGGGTTTCCTTCTCCAGGTGGAGCTGTACCTGGCCACCGTGCACCCGGCGCCCTCGGGACATGAGAGCGTGTCCGCCCTGATCTCCTGCCTGTCCGGGAGGGCGTTGGCATGGGCCAACGCGGAGTAGAGGAGGATCGACGCGGACACTATAACCTACGACGAGTTCTCCCGCCGCTTCAGGGCGGTGTTTGACCATCCCCCGGAGGGGAAAGCGGCGGGAGGGCGTCTGGTCTTCCTCCGGCAGGGGAGGAGGAGTGCCCAGGAGTTCGCTCTCGAATTTCGTACTCTAGCGGCGGATGCAGGGTGGAATGATCGGGCTCTCGTCGATCACTACAGATGTAGTCTACGAGAGGACGTCCGTCGGGAGCTGGCCTGTAGGGACACCAGCCTCACGTTCGACCAGTTGGTCGACATGTCCATCAGGCTGGATAACCTGCTAGCTACCCGCGGACGTCCCGAGGGGGGTCCGTCCATTTCACCCTCCAGCGCCTCCGGGCCGTGCCCCATGGAGCTCGGGGGCGCTGGCGCTAGAGAGAGGAGGGGTCGGCTTACTAGGGGGTCCATCCCCTGCACCAACTGTGGTCGGGGAGGACACACCGCGGCTAGGTGCTGGGGATGGCCTCCTAAGGGAGAGGACGACAGGTCCCGCACTGGGGATTCCTTCCAGGTGAGTAGGCGCCCCACTCACCCAGAGCTCTCTGCTACACATTTCTGTATGCCTGTGAGTTTTCCACAGGTAGCACCTCATTCCCAGCATAAGGCGCTGGTAGATTCAGGCGCGGCTGGGAATTTTATTGATAAGAAGTTTTGTTTAGCTTTAGGGATTCCCCTTCTTCCTGTTGATGTCCCTTTCCCCGTTCATGCCCTAGATAGCCGTCCGTTGGGGGCGGGCTTGATCAGGGAGGTCACTGCGCCACTTAGGATGTGTGCGCAGGGGGGTCATCATGAGATGATTCAGCTATTTCTGATTGCCTCTCCTGCGTATCCGGTGGTGCTGGGCCTGCCCTGGTTGAGTACCCATAACCCATCTATTTCGTGGCAGGAGAGGGCTCTGATGGAGTGGTCTGCCCAGTGTGTGGGTAGATGTTTAGGCGTTTCCGTAGGGGCTACCTCGGTGGAGAGTCCAAACCAGGTGCCCGCATTGCACGTTCCCCCTGAGTATGGGGATTTGGCTATTGCGTTTAGTAAGTCGAGGGCGACGCAGTTGCCGCCCCATAGGCAGGGAGATTGTGCGATAGACCTCCAGGCAGGAGCTGCGCTCCCGCGGAGTCATGTGTATCCTCTGTCTCAGGAGGAGAAGAAAGCTATGGAGACTTACATAGACGAATCTCTGAGACAAGGATACGTACGGCCTTCCACTTCCCCTGCGTCCTCGAGTTTCTTTTTTGTGAAGAAGAAGGATGGTGGTTTGCGCCCGTGCATCGATTACCGTGGTCTCAATCAGATCACGGTGAAGTATAGTTATCCACTCCCGCTGATTGCGACCATGACTGAGTCCTTGCATGGGGCGCGTTTCTTCACGAAATTAGATCTCAGGAGCGCGTACAACTTGGTGCGCATCAGGGAGGGCGATGAATGGAAGACAGCCTTTAGTACCACCTCGGGCCATTACGAGTATCTTGTCATGCCATACGGGTTGATGAACGCTCCGTCAGTTTTCCAATCATTCGTGGATGAGATCTTCAGGGACATGCAGGGGCAGGGGGTCGTTGTGTACATTGATGACATTCTCGTGTACTCGCCTACTCGTGTCGAGCATGTGGCCCTGGTGCGCAGAGTGTTGCGGAGGCTGGTGGAGCACGACCTGTATGTTAAGGCAGAGAAGTGTCTGTTTTTCCAGGAGTCGGTCTCCTTTTTGGGGTATCAGTTGTCTGCGTCAGGGGTGAAGATGGAGGTAGACCGTGTGTCGGCCGTGCGTAATTGGCAAACACCAACCACTGTGAAGGAGGTGCAGCAGTTTTTGGGGTTTGCGAATTACTACCGGAGGTTTATCCGGGGTTTTGGACAGGTGGCAGCTCCCATCACGTCTCTCTTGAAGGGGGGTCCGGTGTGTCTGCAGTGGTCGGCCGAGGCGGACAGGGCGTTTGGGAGGCTGAAGGACCTGTTTACCTCGGCTCCGGTGCTAGCGCATCCGGATCCCTCTTTACCATTTCAGGTAGAGGTTGACGCGTCTGAGGCCGGTATAGGAGCCGTGCTTTCACAACGGTCAGGCGCGCCACCTAAACTCCGCCCCTGTGCTTTTTATTCAAAAAAGCTCAGTCCGGCGGAGCGAAACTATGACGTAGGGGACAGGGAGCTGTTAGCCGTGGTACAGGCCCTAAAGGTGTGGAGGCACTGGCTTGAGGGGGCTCAACACCCTTTCCTCATTTTGACGGACCACCGTAACCTGGAGTACATCCGGGCAGCGAGGAGGCTAAACCCTCGGCAGGCTAGATGGAGTATGTTTTTGACCCGGTTTACGTTTAAGATCACGTACATCCCTGGGTCCCAGAACGGTAAGGCAGATGCGCTGTCTCGGCGGTATGACACGGAGGAGAGGTCCGTGGAGCCCACTCCCATACTGCCGGAGTCGTGTCTGGTGGCACCGGTAGTGTGGGAGGTCGATGCTGAGCTCGAGCGGGCGTTACGCACCGACCCTAGTCCGCCACAGTGCCCGGAGGGTCGGAAGTACGTTCCGCTCGAGGTTCGGGATCGATTGATCTATTGGGCTCACACGTCACCCTCCTCTGGACATCCGGGTATCGGCCGGACAGTGCACTGTCTTAGTGCCAAGTACTGGTGGCCCACGTTGGCAAGGGATGTGAGGGTTTATGTTTCCTCCTGCTCGGTGTGCGCCCAGTGTAAGGCGCCTAGACATCTGCCTAGGGGTAAGTTACTACCCCTGCCCGTGCCACAACGACCATGGTCCCACCTCTCGGTGGATTTCCTTACTGACCTTCCTCCGTCACAGGGGAATACCACTATACTGGTCGTTGTGGACCGGTTTTCTAAGGCCTGTCGTTTGCTCCCCATGCCGGGCCTTCCTACCGCCCTGCAAACTGCCGAAGCCTTATTCACGCATGTGTTCCGGCACTACGGGGTACCCGAGGATATTGTGTCTGATCGAGGTCCCCAATTTACCTCCAGAGTCTGGAGGGCCTTTATGGAGCGGTTGGGGGTCTCGGTGAGCCTCACCTCGGGTTACCACCCGGAGAGTAATGGGCAGGTGGAACGTGTAAACCAGGATGTGGGTAGGTTTCTAAGAACATACTGCCAGGACCGGCCGGAGGAGTGGGCAAGGTACGTTCCCTGGGCCGAAATGGCCCAGAATTCCCTACGCCATTCCTCCACTAACCTAACCCCTTTCCAATGTGTGTTAGGTTACCAGCCGGTTCTGTCACCCTGGCAGCAGAGCCAGATCGAGGCTCCTGCGGTGGATGAGTGGGCGAGGCGTTCGGAGGAGACATGGAACGCTGCACACGTCCACCTGCAGCGGGCCCTCCGACGTCATAAGGCGAGCGCCGATCTCCACCGCAGTGAGGGACCGGTGTACGCACCTGGTGATCGAGTCTGGCTCTCTACCAGAAACCTGCCCCTCCGCCTGCCCTGTCGGAAACTGGGTCGGCGGTTTGTAGGGCCATTTAAAGTCCTGGGAAGGTTGAACGAGGTGTGTTATAAATTACAGCTACCTGTTGAATATAAAAGTATTAACCCCTCGTTCCATGTGTCCCTTCTCAGGCCGGTGGTAGCTGTCCCACTCCAGGAAAGTGAGATCAGGGAGACTCCTCCGTCCCCATTGGACATCGAGGGGGCACCGGCGTACTCCGTGAGGTCCATCTTGGATTCGAGACGTCGGATGGGGGGTCTCCAGTATCTAGTGGAGTGGGAGGGGTACGGTCCGGAGGAGCTGTGCTGGGTGCCGAGGAGAGACATTTTGGACCCGTCTCTCCTGACGGAATTCCATCGTGGGCACCCGACGCACCCTGCTCCGCGTCCTCCGGGTCGTCCCCGAGGCCGGAGTCGGCGCACGTCTGGAGCCGCGCGTCAAGGGGGGGGTACTGTCACGGTTTCGGCCGAGGCTGCCTCTCTTCCTTGTTCGGGCAGGCTTCGGCGTTCGTTGTCTCCGGAATACTAGCTGCCACCGTTGTATGTTTCATGTTCGTTTGCTTTTGTCTGATTGTTTTCACACCTGTTATCATTTAGTGTCATTAGTGTCCTATTTAGTTCTCGTTGTGTTTGTCAGGTGTTGCGTGTTATTGTTTCGTGTACTGTCGTATTTGCTGGTCGTTTGACTATTTCGCTCGGTTGAGCTTACTACTCCACTGCGCTGGAGCGTATTTACGCACCTGTTTTCGTGCGCCTTTATTTTGGTCGCCTACGTGCGTCGTTCCGCCTTCGGGCGAGTTTTCCTGTTTGCCTTATTGGTAATTTTGACTAAAGTCTTTTGGATTATTGACTTCGGTGTCCTTGCGCTTGATTCCACCCATACACCCACCTACAGCCAACCTTGACAGACACTTCACTTTGGTCACTTTCCAGGGATTCTTCTCTTGCCTCCATAATCCGTGCTCTACACTTTTGGCTACGGTGGATGTGAGATTATTTATGGCCCCATCACGCTAGCTCTGTGGTTATTTGCCGTGATAGCCAAATGTAACACTAGATCTGTGGTTATTTGCTATGCTAGCCAAATGTAACACTAGATCTGTGGTTATTTGCTGTGCTAGCCAAATGTACCACTAGATCTGTGGTTATTTGCTATGCTAGCAAAATGTACCACTAGCTCTGTGGTTATTTGCTATGCTAGCCAAATGTAACGCCACAGGAACAAACGGATGATAAACAGGAAATAAATGTTGTCTAATGATTGTATTTAGTGGAACTGGTAACAACAAGTCAATATAACTTGTTCCGTTTATTGGTTGGATCAAGAAATACGAACTTGTCATTTTGTGCTGGCTAGCCAGCTAACTAGCTAGCTAGCTAGCAATTATGGTGTGCTGCAGCGCTGGATGTTTACTCGGGGAACCTCTTGGTTGCGAATGCAGATAGAATGTGTTTTTGACAGTTGAAAGGTCTATGAAACCTTTTGTATCCCCCTTGGGGCAGGGTTTCCATTTGAGGAAAACACGCTCCACTGGTGGTCCTCGAGTCAAGTAGCGTAGCGCATATGTGACAAAGTAGATGATTATCAAAATGTATATAAAACGTTGTACAAGTACGTGTAGCTTACACGTCTATGTCATACAGCCTATAGTAGCGACAACTATTTATGTAGCAGTGCCAGTAGCCTGTGTGTCTGCAATAGAGACTCCAATAAGAAGCACCTCATTAAAATATATTTAAGGTTTTAAGGGTTATTTTATCTTCACGACATGCTGACACAATAAATGTAATTCTACATTTCAAAGAAAAAAAAAAAAAACTGGGATTCAAACTTGCCGCAAACTGTGAAAACCATCAGGAGCCAGGCTCGCAATACTGAGGTAATCGTCCAGCTAAAAAAAATGATGCGCCGGTTGAGTAACTTTTGATTAGCAGACGGTGCTGTATGACTGCTGTTAAGAACGCGCTCATTGAAAAGTGTTCTATCGCGTCCAACTACGTAGACAAGTCTAATTTGCTGCTACATAATTTGAACCGGATATAATCACGGCCACCTGGTGAAGTTAGCATAGGGCTAAATGTGCCAAGGTTATGTAATGGGAAAAGCTAACAATTTTAATTGGCTGACGGTTAAACTTAAACTTTTTCTAATGTTCGCAAGTATGGCCCCAGCAAGTTTCAACTTGTAAAAATAATTATTTGTCATATTTACTATATATTTGTACATGTACAGCCACTTACAGTATGTCACTGTGAATACTCACCAGTATGGAGAGAGCCTCGGTGTTATTGATAGAGCAGGCTAACGTGACGGGAGTGTTGCCCAGATCTCCTTCTATGTTAGACTCTGTCTTATAGTGGGACAACAGGAGCTACACACACACACACACACACACACACACACACACACACACACACACACACACACACACACATAAATGAATAATGAAAACCTTATTAGATACAAATGAATTAATGAACAAATGAACAAATGAATAGATGGATTACATGTCAAGTCGCCAAGAGCAGCTGGGGAACAACAAGACAAAATCAGATAACGGAATAATGACGCCTTCTGTGACACATGAATACCTTTCCTTATCTCTCTCTGCTTCCTGCCACAGGGACAGCTGGTTTCCTTATCTCTCTCTGCTTCCTGCCACAGGGACAGCTGGTTTCCTTATCTCTCTCTGCTTCCTGCCACAGGGATAGCTGGTTTCCTTATCTCTCTCTGCTTCCTGCCACAGGGACAGCTGGTTTCCTTATCTCTCTCTGCTCTCCGCTTCCTGCCACAGGGGCAGCTGGTTTCCTTATCTCTCTCTGCTCTCTGCTTCCTGCCACAGGGACAGCTGGTTTCCTTATCTCTCTCTGCTCTCCGCTTCCTGCCACAGGGGCAGCTGGTTTCCTTATCTCTCTCTGCTCTCCGCTTCCTGCCACAGGGGCAGCTGGTTTCCTTATCTCTCTCTGCTCTCTGCTTCCTGCCACAGGGACAGCTGGTTTCCTTATCTCTCTCTGCTCTATGCTTCCTGCCACAGGGGCAGCTGGTGTTGTCCCCCCAGAACAGACAACAGAAAGGCTGACAAGATCCTAGAGTCAAGGGTTCTCAGGTTCAACAATCTTTAGCACCAGGCTTGGCTGTGGCTGAACTGTTTCTATTCAGGGTGCACCAGCCAGATGATCTAACCCTAGAGGGACTACATAATTTACACCCACTCTCAGTCACCCACGTCCATCCACACCTCTGGGACACAACTGACACTCAGTCACCCACGTCCATCCACACCTCTGGGACACAACTGACACTCAGTCACCCACGTCCATCCACACTTTTGGGACACAACTGACACTCAGTCACCCACGTCCATCCACACCTCTGGGACACAACTGACACTCAGTCACCCACGTCCATCCACACCTCTGGGACACAACTGACACTCAGTCACCCACGTCCATCCACACCTCTGGGACACAACTGACACTCAGTCACCCACGTCCATCCACACCTCTGGGACACAACTGACACTCAGTCACCCACATCCATCCACACCTCTGGGACACAACTGACACTCAGTCACCCACGTCCATCCACACCTCTGGGACACAACTGACACTCAGTCACCCACATCCATCCACACCTCTGGGACACAACTGACACTCAGTCACCCACGTCCATCCACACCTCTGGGACACAACTGACACTCAGTCACCCACGTCCATCCACACCTCTGGGACACAACTGACACTCAGTCACCCACGTCCATCCACACCTCTGGGACACAACTGACACTCAGTCACCCACGTCCATCCACACTTTTGGGACACAACTGACACTCAGTCACCCACGTCCATCCACACCTCTGGGACACAACTGACACTCAGTCACCCACGTCCATCCACACCTCTGGGACACAACTGACACTCAGTCACCCACGTCCATCCACACCTCTGGGACACAACTGACACTCAGTCACCCACGTCCATCCACACCTCTGGGACACAACTGACTCTTAGCTTAAGGGTGACCAGCTTCTGTTCAAGATGCCTTCCCACTGGTCTCTATGCAGGGTGATCCGATCGGTTTTCAAACCCTAGCTTCGTATATGAGCTCCTTGTGCTGAGGTGGGAGGGGCAATATCTGAGGTGGGAGGGGTGGCAATATCTGAGGTGGGAGGGGTGGCAATATCTGAGGTGGGAGGGGTGGCAATATCTGAGGTGGGAGGGGTGGCAATATCTGAGGTGGGAGGGGTGGCAATATCTGAGGTGGGAGGGGTGGCAATATCTGAGGTGGGAGGGGTGGCAATATCTGAGGTGGGAGGGGTGGCAATATCTGAGGTGGGAGGGGCAATATCTGAGGTGGGAGGGGCAATATCTGAGGTGTGTCCTTAAAAACATGCGCCAAAGTGGCAATTTCAGGCAGCGCTGGTGGGGATAAAGCGCTGGTGGGGATAAAGTGCTGGTGGGGATAAAGTGCTGGTGGGGATAAAGTGCTGGTGGGGATAAAGCGCTGGTGGGGATAAAGCGCTGGTGGGGATAAAGTGCTGGTGGGGATAAAGTGCTGGTGGGGATATTTAAAGACAGACTGAAAGCTGAGCCCATATCCACAAAGCATCTCAGAGTAGAAAATTGATCGTAAGTAGGGCTGTTGTGGTGACCGTGTTACCGCCACACGGGCAGTCATGTGACCGCAGTAAAATTCTCCTCTTACGCACTCTGGACATGCGTTGGTAGTATCCAACTGATAACGACCTTCAGGTCCTAATGGCCTGGTACTCAGGGCTCTATTGGCCCTCTAACCATCAGGTCCTAATGGCCTGGTACTCAGGGCTCTATTGTCCCTCTAACCATCAGGTCCTAATGGCCTGGTACTCAGGGCTCTATTGTCCCTCTAACCATCATGTCCTAATGGCCTGGTACTCAGGGCTCTATTGTCCCTCTAACCATCAGGTCCTAATGGCCTGGTACTCAGGGCTCTATTGGCCCTCTAACCATCAGGTCCTAATGGCCTGGTACTCAGGGCTCTATTGCCCCTCTAACCATCAGGTCGCTAATGACCAGGTACTCAGGGCTCTATTGTCCCTCTAACCACTCTGACATCAATGCAAATGCAATCAAAAATCACATCAAACACTTATCATCAAAACAGTATCGTGCTTTTAAAACTCACCTCGCTGTGATTGATCAATTTGAAGAAAGAGAGTTCAACAACAGGTTGAAACTGAGTGTAAAATATGGTCTTTGTGGATGTTGTTTCAAAGTCTAACACAATGAAATGTACAGCACTTTCTAAGGTGATTATTAATTAAAAAACACTAATGCATATGCATAGGCCTATATATGAGCCTAAGCCAGAGACAAAATAACCTGAAATAAAAAAATGATGGTGCCGTTATGCAATACATAGTCTACTGCATATTATGCAATGCAGAAAAAAACATCAAACAAAACTGATTTACATCATTGCACCCTGGTCTCATAGACTAGACGTAACATAGTAAATGTAAATCTGGAACATCAAATTAGCATGATATGTTACGTTTGGTACGGTTCCATAAGACAGATGGTTACTTAAGGCCACAACTGTATTAGAAAAATGCAGCGAATCAGTGGTTCCTGCGCCTTATGCAATTGCTTTGGAGTTGCTAAAATCATGTTTGGATATTTCTATATGATCACTCAATAAATAATCTAGACAGTATCTATTGTCAAAATTCCGCTTTTAACAACCATCGTAATTGGTAAAAAAAAAAAAAAAAAAAAAGGTAATGCATGCCAACATATTAGCCAATAACTAAGAGTAGGTAAAGTGATGGTGTCAGATGAAATTATATCAAAAGGTTTTACCATTGAAACATTTTATGTACAGTCACATTCACTGTGGTTGTCTGAAGCAACGCAGGCTAGAGGGTTCACAGCTGGCGATGCCTCATCGCGACTGGTTATTCCCCAATTTACAACAATGTCAATAAACATCAGCACTATCTTTCCTTTACGGAACCTGAAACTGTCCTGATTACCAGCTGAGATATACTTTTATGAGTTGATTTTACTCCTGGCTCAGAGTTTGTCTGAGCAGTGTATTTAACATCATCCTAAAACCTACTCTGAGCTGGGAGTTTTTGTTGTTGTCTTGAAACAGGTTTTAAAAGGATTTCTAAGACATTTTCAGAGATGCTTTGTGGATATGGGCCCTGGTCATATGGTGCTTTCAAGACAACTGGGAACTCTGAAAAATACTAGGTCAAATCATGACGTCAGTGATCTTCAGGTCGGAAAGCTCTAGAAAGAGGCCCGGGTTGGAATTTCGAATTGGATGACCATTCAAAACTATTTTTCCCAGTCGGAGCTCGTTTTTTCCCCGAGTTCCCAGTTGTCTTGAACGCACTGAAGTGGGAAGTCAGAGATTTCCAAGTTCCCAGTTCTGAGTTCCCACTTGTTTGTTTTGAACATTATGCCTTGTTTACATCTTGACGTATTTCATCACGGAGGTGTAGTGTTTGTAAAGCAAAGATGGAGGACAGACTGTTTTGCTTAGCTACTTTTTCCTCAATTTCTTTCTCTAACTTTATAGCAAAGGCTAGGTTGAAGATATCATTGTAGCTATCGACCTCCATCTAATAATTATCATCAAAAACAAACATCATTATCATCACAATAAACTTAAATGGGAGGCAACAGCCAATGTGTATCATTTAACATTACTATTAAAATCAGTGGCGTGTATTCATGGATGCAAAGGGAAGCCAGGCTTCCTCCAAAAAAAATGTCCCCCCCAAAAATAAAAACACATACAAATAATGGTCATTTCGTCGCTCTGTATTTCATACATTTCCTTCAATTTGCAAGAGGCTGAATGTGTCTCACCGGGGAAAGCATCCGAGTGAACGAAACAGCGCCCCCCCTCTGTCTCAGTATGTGTAGCCCATCTGTTTGATTCAATAACAGCCAATCAGCGTTGAGCTAAACTGAGTGAGCGCAACTGTGAATGGTCGTGGTGCACCAATAAAAAGTGTCAAGGGAAGGCAATTTTGGATTTTGGATTCACTGCCA